ATACTTAAGTCCTTAAAATGGGAGAGACTGCTAATAAAACTTAGCCATTCATGTAACGTATCTGCGTCAATGGTATCGTTCCAACTGATTTTGGATATCCAGATTTTTTGCATTATAAGTTTAGCGACAACTGTAACGGGATTAATAAGACCTTGAGGATCAAATATTTGGGCAATCATTGACAGTACTTCTCTTTTAGTATATGAGTTCTTTAGGGTGAAATCTGGAAGAGAGATTGAAAACGTGTCAAGAACAGGATTCCAGCATAAACCTAAAACCTTATTAGAGCAATTATCTGGAGCTATGACATAAGAAGAGTTCGAAGAGAGAGAAGAAATATTTTTTAGAAACAAGTCCGAGTTAGAACACCATTTATGTAGAGAAATACATGCTGTTCCAAGCAAACTAGTTATTTCCTTATGAGCTTTGAGAAGAGTTTGCTCATCATTAGCACCATAGAGAATGTCATCGATATAGCAACTATTTTTAAGAGCGTCACTGGCCAGGGGATACTCAGTTTGATGAGTATTTGCCAGTTCCATTAAACAGCGAGTACTCTGAAAACTGGCGCTTTTAGTTCCATATGTAACTGTTTGCAGTTCCAGGCACTCAATATCTTTTTCCGGGGAGTCACGCCAAAGTATGTTTAATAGAAAGGTTTGATCAGGATTAATTTTAACCTGTCTGTACATCTTTTGTATATCCGTTGTGAAAACAAAGGAATATAATCGAAAGCGTAGCAAAATGTCAAAAAGTTCCGGTTGAAGAGTAGGACCTTTGAGGAGGATATCATTTAGCGAATAACCACTAGAACTTTTCATCGAACCATCGAAAACAACCCTAAGTTTGGTTGTTAAGGATTCTTCCTTTAATACACAGTGATGCGGGAGGAAATATTTATTTTCTAAGTTTCCATTAGTAAGAGAGAGAGGGACTATTCTAGCATGTTCGAGAAGAAGATATTCACTAATGAAAGACTTATATTGAGCGTATGTATTTTCATTTTTTAAGAGCCTATTTTCTAAATTAATAAATCTCTTTAGAGCTATTTTAAAAGATTCGCCTAATCTTTTATGCGCATTTTCGGAGACAAGTGGAAGATTTACTTGAAAACGACCCGAAGGTAAAATACGAGTGGTCTTATTAAAATATTTGTTCAGCCAATTTCTCATCGGGGGTTAATTTACTAACGTGCGGAACTTCTTCAATCTCGAAGAATTGTTGAATTAATTTATCTAAATTATTCTCTTTGGATTCGGACTGAACAAGGAGAGAAACATTTGACTGAGAAATAGCCAAATTTGAACTACGATGAAAGACATGAGGGGGAAGAGTACCAAAAATAACATAACCCAAGTGGGTATTCTGAAGAATGGGAAGATTCTTTCCTAAACGTATGAATCCATCAGTCAATAATTCGCTGTATATGTCACCAGCTAGAAGCAAATCAATTTTACCGGGAACAGAGTACGAGGGATCTGCGAGAGTGAGATTAGGGGGAACATTTATTTTGCTTCTATTTAGGGTAGCTTTGGGAAGTCTGCAAGTTATACTATCAAGTACAGCAAAAGAGGTTTTGAAACTTCTATCCTTTACATTATAGGGAAAAAATTCTATGTTAATCATTTGATTTGACAATGAGGTGTTTTCGGATATGGTTGATATCTGTAACTGTTTAAAATAAGGGGTGAGGTTTAACTTCTCAACCAAATCACGAGAAATAAATGAATGTTGACTCCCATTATCTAGGAGCGCTCTGGCATGCATAGGCCTGCCATCTTTAGAATACACTGTCACTAAAGCGGTAGCCAACAATACATCAGTTTTAACTGATAAAGCAGAGAGAGAAGTGGCTGTGTGAGAATCTGCAGTATTTTGTACTTCTAAAGGAGGTTTAAACGAACTGGTAGAAGCTTCATTTTGGGTATGAGCACTATAAGGCGGAGTAGGTATGTGAGCGACACGACTGGAAGAACCTTGAGAATGTTTGGGAGCTTGAGCGTTGCGATCAATCGGAAAAGATTGCTTATTCGTGTTCCTAGAGGAAGAGACATTTTCAGGGGTACTATGCAAGAGCGAGTGATGTCTTTTCTTACATATACTACATGAGCGTGCAGAGTTGCAATCTTGAGAAAAATGTTTATTACCCAAACAATTCCAACAAAGTTTCTTACCTTTTACAAAATTAAATCTTTCCTGTAAAGAGAGACATTTAAAATCATTACATTGATAAATTTTATGCGAATTACTTTTGCAACATATACAACTAGTATCTGAAAAAGAGTTTGTTTGTGAGGTAACTGATGAAAACAAAGATGTTTTTAACTGAGGCTTAGTAAATTTTCTATCATTATCAGAAACGTTTAATTTTTCTTGGATATCACACTTTTTTTCAAGAAAACAAAAAAACTGTGAGAGAGTAGGTAAAGCCTTTGAACCTATTTCATATTCAAATGACCGGTGAGTAGTGAAATCTAATTTTTGTAAAAATACTTCGATTAACAATAAATCCCAATGTTCGATTGGTACTGACATATTCTTGAGTGCGAGTAAAGTTTGTTTGCAAAGAGTTAAAAATTCTCTTAATGATTTTGAGTTACTTTTAGCTAAAGATGGAGCCTTTAACAATTTTTGAATATGTAAACTAATTACACGCGATTTATTTTCGTATCGATCCTTGAGCGTGTCCAAAGCGATCTGGAAATTTTCTTCTACAACTTCAATGTTTTCAATTAAGTGCAAAGGTTCATGTTTTAAGAAGGATTTAAGATATATAAATTTTTGCACATTGTTCAGCTCCACATTATTGATTATCAGCGTTTCAAATAGCTGATAAAACGCGTTCCATTCGGCGAAGTTTCCAGAAAAAACATGCAGTGTAATTTCCGGCAACCTAACTTTAGCAGTGGCTACAGTTGACGGAGTATCGTTTGAGCTGAGCGAGTGGGAGGGTAACTTTAATGCTTCCATCTTATGCTGCAGTCCAGCTAGTGTAGAAAAGTATTTTTTCTCCATGAGTGCTCTGTCTTCTGTTTCAGAATCGGTTTCATCGATTTCTTCAATCTGATCCATCACCTCTTCATACTTCAGATAACATGATTTCAATTCGGTGTGTCTGAGTTGAAACTGGAGCCCGTCAGTTTCTGCATCTGCGTTTTCTAGCAGCCAGTTTACTATTCTAGTAATCTTGGCCTTCAGCGGCTTCCTCTTCTTCTTGAGATCTTCCATTTCGACTTTCAACAAAAAGTGCTACTCCAAAAATAACTGCCTAAGGTCGTGCAAACACCGAGTTCTTTAGAGAAATTATTGTTTCTATTATATAATAATGCGTGTATCACACAGCGAGAATAGAGTGAGTAATGTTTATATTATATATGAACACATATAGCACACGACGAGAATAGAGTCAATATTTATCATATAATAACATATAGCACACGGCGAGAAAGTTTATAGTTTATTAAAACGCGGTAAAAGTCTTAAATTACACATGAGAGTTTATTTTTGCAATTAAATTTTTTGCACACCCGGTAAATGTCTACAAATGTCTACAGATAAATTTTTAAAGAGACAGTCTTTTTGAAAAGCGATTTACCCTGTGCATAAGCGAAGTTATAATATGGAAAAATCTCACCCAATTTGTCCAGTGGTTTGCAGGAACAGGCACAAACACTATAAAACTTCACTACTGTCCTTTTGTTTCAGAGTTTATCGCGACACCTTAGTCTTTTCGAGAGTCTTTTAAATACATTCATCTAAATATCCGAAACTAGTTAGTACAAATGCCAACATCAAACACAAATCCGTCGAGTAAGGACCACAAACAATGATGGAGTTTTCTCCGATTTCCACCAATTGTTGTGGGGAAAGCTTATTAAATTCCTTTCCCCGTGCGTGTACAGTTTCAAATATTTTAGGACCATGGACTGTACAAGAGTGTTTCCTTCGATATATACAAGCAGAACTTCACGGCGCTGGTTCTTTATGTGTTTGATTTAATAGGGGTTGTACTTAGAGAAAAATAAGCGTAATTAATTGAATCTACACATTTAATAACAAGAGAATATTTACACAAGCACTAATACTAAGGAAAGAGTTCGCTTTAAAACATTGTCCATTATTATATCAGCGTTTTACGGGCGCGCGAAATTATCGAGAAAAACAAATACACGTTTCACTGCATTTTGGCGGCGAAGAGAGAGCTTAGGTACCGGCTACTAGTACCAAACAGCTTGAGACACTAGTCACATCTACGAGAGATTTTGAATTGAATCTTTACCTAATTGCCGACAAGGCGGCGTCAGTTTTACCACTCAAACAACCCTTATAAGCTATTTATGGCACAAATATTTTGCAGGCAAAAAGTACAGTCTGTAGCATAAAATCCAAACTAATATTTGTGAGAACTAAAAATTATACTAAAATTAATATAAAATGTTGTTTTTACAACAATAACCATTTTTGATGTATCACAGACACTACTAATATATTTCGCAAATAATCTTGGTCCAGTCTATGAAAATACCAAGATATTTTGTTGTTCTTCTTCTAATCAGATTTCCATCGATCCAAATTATCGGATCTCTTTACAGCCGACCGACGACCCTTGATTAGGCTTTATGTGGTTTTTATACTTGAATTTAAAAGTTTGACGTTCACTATCTGCCAGCAGATTTTCTCACCACCATAACAATGAGAAAAAGTTCACTATAAAAATGAAAGAAATGAATAAAAACTACCACGACGCACTATAAAAACCCGTCACATTGCACGTAGAAAAACTTTTAACAGTGTAGAGATAAAAACAAAAAATTGACAAACCACACCGGCACAGAGCTGTTGTTATAACAAAGTTAACATTTAAAAAATATTTTATACTTCACTTTAGGGCGCATCTCAAATTAAAGAATTCTAACCGGAAAACGAATGTCAAGTTACCTAATAGCAGATTAATGAGTAATGTGTGTATTTGTAAACATCAAAATTTCTTTTTGTTTTAGGTTTCTTTATCAGATTTGTCCCTCATTCCAGAATTATATCCAGCTCTAATGCTTATGTTCGCAGAGCATTACGAAGAATTGGAAAATAAAGCAGTGAAAAGACAGTTAAGGCTCGAGAGAGAAAAAGAGAAGAAAACGACTGATAACTTAAAGCGGAAACAGGTCACGACGTAGAATTTTCGTTTCTTCGTTATCTTTGTTGTAAATAATTGTTTATAGGTTTTAAATAAATTTAATAAATAATTTTTTACTCGTTTCTCCGCTTACCTTATTATTAGACCTACCCATCGAGCAAAAAGATAAAAGAGGGAATGTAAAGGTAGTGGGGACAAAAATATTGTTAGACAGGAAGTGCTATCTTGAAAGGCCACTTTAAACAAGGAAAGACAGTCTCTTTCCTTGTTTGAGAAGTCAAATTTAGTTTGGTTATGTTATTGTTTGTCCCAACTGTCACATAAAATTTTATTTATATTGAAGTTTTTTTACCAATTGTGTCACTTTTTAGACTATTATAGTTAATATTTAGTTAAAACTTTCTCGTCTGAAAAATATTTTATAGCTATTGTTAATAAGTGTTGGAAAATTTAAATTTAGCGCCTTTGCATTTCCGGATATGTCCGCCATCAGAGGCCACTTTTTTGGTCTCCTTTTCATAACGATTAGATTCCCTCTTTTATCTTTTTGCTCGATGGACCTACCACAGAATAATAAACAATCAGAATGCCCACTCTGAGATGCCGCCTTTGAAGTTTGTCAGCACGCGAATGCCATGTATTGGACGGAAACATATACTCGAATTGAGAAATTTGTGACAAGCTACGACAGAACTGTAATTTAAATTTTTAGAGATTAATAATTTAGTACATTTGAAAAAATTTAATTTATTCTTCAACTAAAAGTACGAATAAAATAGTGCATATTGTATGTCTGTAGTTGCCGTAAATAAATTAATCCGCGTTAATTTGTCTATGCACACCAGATAAAATGTCACTGAACAGCACTGGTTCCGTTTAAAACATGGCTGATTCCATCTGCGTGTACTAATTTTTTTTTAACAGAGTGGGCATTCTGATTGTTTATTATTCTGTGGACTTACCGTGACAGCTGTTTTTAATCGGTTAAAAGGCGTTTTTCGCTGTAAAACATCAAATCCTTACAAAAACTGTATATAATCTAAAAAATTAGACTATGTGAGAAGTGATCTTCAAGTTATTTACTATCTTCACTGGGAATTAACCTAACCAATTTCAGTTGATATACGTTTATTTTGGCCTTTCAACTTCCACTTCGGAAATCGTACACAAAATACAAATTAAAACAAATTATATCACTGTCTTACTTGAGATAAATACAAAAATAAATCTAACTAATTACTTTTTTAAGTATAGTCTAGTCGTACTGATTGCCACTTTGACAAATAAAACAAATGACCGATTTTTGCGCTACTCGCTAAGTTTTGTGAACGTCTGTGCTTATTGTCGCCCAAACGGACGAGTATTATGTCTGATTCCGAAGATCCCACGGCATCGCGTATTTCTCCAAATCCTTTGTGTACTGCAAAGACTGTAACCGAAGAATTGTTGCCTTCCAAGTCCACTGCGGTTTACGAAGCTTTTGACTTTTACACTTTTTTTTAAGCGTAAGGGGTTTTTGGGGCGGGGGGAGGTGAGTTTATTACTTTCTGTGTCACAAAAAATATAAGCGGAACTTATTATAGTTATAACTTACCTTCATTTTCAAGCAAATCACCTTTACCAGTGGTCATTTTAGGGGATTTTTTAAAGATTTTCTATGTAAAACTTACCGTTTTCTGCTTATTCAACGTCATATATTTGGATTTTTCTATTCGACGAATAAAAGTATACCTTTGAACAGCCATAATCTTGTTAATGTTAAGTTTACGGTAGGTAATATTACAACATGAATCTCTTTGTTATATCAGCTTCATTTTATATCCAAACGTTTTCCCGATAAAATTTTAAGTTTGTGGAGTTATTCGCGAAACACCGGTTAAAAACATTCTTTTTTGATGTGAGAACTTTGAGAACTATCAGTCACGAATAACTCAAAAAATATTGGCTTTTGAAAAAAACTCTGAAGAATAGTTTTGTCTTAAAATTCACAATTCTAGTGACTACCACAGTTTTTTTTTTATAAACTTTTTCCACCCAAAGAGTTGGAGTGGTAACCACCCCCTGAGGAAAAGCACATATTGCTATAGAGTAGATTTTTTTGAGTAGAGGTTGCGACTTCGGACCGCTACAGGTGAAAATGCCATCATTCATGGAGAAATCTAGGTACAATTAGGAATTGGAGCAGAAAAGTTCGTCCATACTGTTATAGTTGCTGACATCGAAGAGGATGTTATATTAGGGATGGACGTAATGAATATGCATGGATTCCAATCGGATTTTAAAAATAAGGTAATCAAAGTTGGTAACTAGGAGGTATTTCTTCATCCACATGATAATAACACTGTGCAAGCAGCTGTTAAAGAAGATACAGTCGTGCCTGCGAGAAGTGAAACGATTATAGCAGCGTGGTTACAGGGAATTGTGGACGAAGGGATACCTGTTATGATGGAACCTTGGAACCATGACGATGAGGTTGGCCGAGGAATCATAATTGGAAAGGAATTGGTGACTTCGGCTAAAGAAATACCTGTGAGACTTATCAATGTTAATCCAGTGACCATCAAGAAAGAGACAAAAGTAGGAACTTGTTTACCTTTGAGATCCATAATCCTTCGACGACAACATCTGATAATTCCAACGAAAATTCGACCAAATGGTTGCAGTTGCTGGACAGTCTCTAAATCAGATTGAGAAAAGGAAATTAAGGGAATTTCTTCAGCATTATCGTGATATTTTTGTACCGAAAGGAGGAAAGACGGGAAGAACTACCGTTGTTAAGCACAAAGTTGATGCTGGTAGTGCTAAGCCAATTCGTCAAACAGCTCGACGATTACCACATGCGAAAAGAGAGAAAGCTGAAACGATTGTTCAGGAAATGAAACAAGGAGGGGGAAAGAACCTTCTACGAGCCTACGGGTCTCTCCGGTGGTCCTGGCTAAGAAGAAAGACGGAACGACGAGGTTCTGTGTGGATTACCGTTTGCTGAACAACGTTACCAAGAAAGATAGTTATCCACTGCCTCGGATCGACGACACATTGGACACATTGGCTGGAAGTAAATTGTTTTCTACTTTGGATTTGAAGTCTGGATACTGGCAGGTAGAAATGGACCCGGTATATAAAGAAAAGACAGCCTTCACCACAGGATCTGGATTGTGGCAATTCAACGTTATGCCATTTGGACTTTGTAGTGCTCCTGCGACATTTGAGAGGCTTATGGAAAATGTGTTGAGAGGGTTATCTTGGAAAACATGCCTATTTTATCTAGATGACATAATCGTATTGGGGGAGACATTTAAAGACCATCTGAAGAAATTAGAAAACGTTTTTAATCGACTTAAAGCTGCCCAATTGATGTTAAACTCCAAGAAGTGCCAGCTATTTCAATGTAAAGTCAATTATATGGGTCATATACTCAGTGAAGGAGTGGCCGTGGATAACGGAAAAATCGATTCCATTAAGGAATGGCCAGAACCAACTGACAAACATCAAGTGAGAAGTTTTCTTGGACTATGTACTTACTACTGAAGGTTTATTAAGAAGTTTGCAGATATCGGTAAGCCATTAACGCGATCGCGTTAATGGCTTACCGATATCTGTGAGTCGACTCACAGAGGATGCAAGAGATTACCGCTGGAATACAGACTGCCAAAATGACTTTGAGACCTTAAAAAAACATTTAATAACAGCACCAATTTTAGGGTATCCACTGCCAGAAGGAGAGTTCATCTTAGATACAGATGCAAGTAATGTGGGAATTGGAGGAGTGCTGTCTCAGATTTAAGGAGGACAGGAACGAGCTTTTGGATATTTTAGTAAAGTTCTTTCAAAACCTGAAGAGAACTTCTAGCAGTAGTGAAATCAGTAGAGCACTTCTATCAATACCTCTATGGAAGAAAGTTTTTAATCCGAACCAACCATGCCGCCCTTAAGTGGCTGATACAGTTTAAGAGTCCAGAGGGTTAGATAGCCATTCTCAGTAATGGATTGTGTATTATTCTGTGGTAATGGCCAGAATAAATTTTTTTTAAGATCCACATTAGTCAAACAAAAATTAAATAGTTTATCAATACTATATAGAAAAAAGAAATTATTAAATAACTATTAATTATGACAAACTAATTTACGAGTTTGCAAAATTAAAAGTGAGAAAAAAGGCAATATAATTATAATTAATCAACCTGGGTATATTTGTTTAAGCATTATTATTTGTTTTAATAAATTATGGTTTATGCCTGTTTGTTTTAATAAAATACATTTATTGAATTCTTATACATATATATTACGTTTTTTCTTTTTTTCGTCTTATTTGAATCCGATAATTAAATAGTGTTTTGCTAAATACTATGTGCTTTGAAACCAAACTACCAAGAGCGAAGTATGTGTCATTACTGAAAAATTACAATTCCATAGGTTCGCTTTAGTCCGCCACTGATTTGTGTAATTGATAAATAAGGTATTAAACAATCAAAACATAATAATTTTCTAATTACATTATTACATAATTTGTATTTGAGAAATTATTTAAAAAATATTCTTTATTGTTAACTAGATATTAAATTACACAAATGCACTTACTTTTAAAAGAAACAGAAAGAAGGTGAGAAATACAAACTAATTTTAAATAAATGTCTAATTATCCTGAAATTTCTAAACTACTCTACGTAGTTAACAATAAATACAAATTGTATGAAGATTTAAAAATGTGAAAATATAAAATATGTATTATTTTTTTTAGTTTTACTGACTTAGTGATTTCGATTTTCTAACGTTCTCAACTGGTAGCGATTCAAAATGACACTGTTGACATATGACGTTCGGCCATTGTGAGAGATCGGTGGTAAGTGGAAGAACGCACGCGGTGCGAAGATTTGCAGCAGCGTTGAGTTTATGGTAGATTTTTTTATTAACTCTTTAGTAATTTATTGAAACTAAGTGCACAATATGTCAAATAATACAGCCCCCGACAGTTGGGAATCTCAAGCCGATTCTACATCGACAAATAATTCGCCACAACATACTGCAGATGTGACAGCTCAGTTTTCCACGTTGAACGTTAATGCTGTCGAATTTGTGCCTTCATTTTCCTTTTCAAAAGCTCCAGAAGTAGTTGAAGTCTCTTCTCCGACAAATTCCCAAGGATCTAATAGTTCACCGCAACATAATCTTATAAATGGTAAGTCACATAATACTAATCATATTTAGGTTATACACCCCCCTCTGGTACCTGGTTCCCACCTAAATTTCGGCTTTCCTTACTTATAATTGACTTCATTAGTTCAATTTCCTTTGGCTCTATAGTATAAGCCTAATATAGCATATATTATATAAATATACAGTTATTATTTTTGTAACTGAGGCCAATTACTTACTGTTAGAAAGTCTCATGACTTTTTATTACCTTTCGTAAAAAGTACAATTAAAAGAATCATTTTAATAACGTTTTCTAATTAGGGAGTGTACAAGATTGTATCAAAATAACATTACCAATACCTGATAACCAGATATATCTGGTTTTAGCACTAAGTTCAAACATCTATACTGGAAGTGATCTAAATATAAATTGTGAAATAATTACTTTTAAACCAAAAAATCTTAAAAATTCTTTTGGTATATTACTACCCAGTTTCTAATTATGAGACTTAGCTTGTACCAACATTTATTTGCTGCATCACTAAGTAGAACAATACAAATTAGTGATAGGTATTTTTGCCAAAAGTATGTTGGGGTATCAAGATTTTGAAATAAATTGAATAGCATTAGGAAAAGTTTTATTGCTAGTAAAGTACAGTGTTTTGTATTCTTCCATTGTTTGCTCAAGACATGGCATTTGTACCATATGGATGAATATCTGATCATGTAGTACTTTTTGTGGAATTTTCCAATTGAAGATACCTTATATCAAAATCAGCTGCTATTAATTATGTTTTGGAAAGAAGGTATTACATTTAAGGTTGCTAATTCAATTCTTAATAATTAGACCTCCATTTTAACAGCTATTAAAATTAATGCTAGATAGCTATGTCTCCTGACACAGAAAATGCAAGTTTATTGACAAAAACCATACTGTTTTTTATTATAGTTACTGGTTATATTTACTTAAAATACGAAAGGTGAATAGCATAATATTTGGATGCTATTTCTAATTTAAAGAATAAATTAAGTCATGATTCCTATGGAATTTCCTTTTATTGCATAAAAAATGTATTTTTACACTGACTAAAGCTTTGAAAATACTTTTTAATTCATCATTTAATAATCAGTCTTTTTTATAACCTTTGAAACACAGGTATGAGGGGTCTATTAAAATAGGGTAATCAAAACAATATCAAAAATAAAATTATTAAGAATAAAAATAATAAGAAATATAATAAAAATCAAAATGATGTTAGAAGAATAGTCAAAAATAGAAGTCAGCTAATATTGTAGAATTCTGACTATTGTACACATGGTTAAAAAGTTTTGACAATAACTTAAGTTGCTCTTTTTCTGAAAGTTATATAATTTTCTCTTGGTAGTTTCAATTTTTTTCAGTATTCTTGTTTTTTTGTTATGTATTTGTTTCCTTGTTTGTTAAGTTGACTTCCACATTTCTAAGAAATCTCATTTTTCTAGCTTGAATTCTAGAGTTATTTAACAGCTGTCACATTCTTATAACAGAGAAGGCTATAACATGTGGCTATTGTCTTATATACACTGTGTGTCAGCCAAATATATACACCTCTTATAAATTATGCACATCTTATATACACTGTGTTAGCTAATAAATAAATGAGGGAGTGTTCAAAAAAATGGTAGAACATGTTGATTAGTATTTATAGTTTTCTCATTTTTTTCCATAAAAACTTTTTATACGGGGTGTATCAGATAACAGTGGCCAATACCAACTTGCTTATTTTAAATAGAACACCCTGTATATTAAATAATTTTTAGATTCCTCAGATCATTTTAAACATTTTGTAAATACAGTGGCCTATACCTATCTTTGACTGTTTCAGAAATATTAAGTAAAATGCAAAAATTCACATTTAGAAAAGAAAATTATTTATTTGTTGAAAGTTGCTACCACTGTCTTATTACTTCTTGCCCATTTAGGTCTTGGTAATGATAAAGTAAGCAAAAACTATTTAAGCATTCCTTTTATTGATAGATAGATAGATAGAACATTTATTGACCACTTTACATAAAGTTTGAAGTCTTTTAAACATAAAGATATGTTTAAAAATAACAAAAAATGTTTACTTTAGGTTAAAATGCCAATTTTTTATTGTTCCATGACAGAAGTAGTTGTCAGTGCTATAGTCGTTTGAATTTCATTAACCGCAAGCCAGAAGAATGGTTCATTTAACTGAAATGCACAAAATTACAATTATACAGATGATTGGCTATGGAAATAAAACATGGATACAAATGGAAGTAGTTTGTTTATTTCACGAAGCATTTCCTGATTACATATTTCAAGGGACAATTAGTAAAATATAGAAGCAATTCCATGTTAGGAAGGTAGGCCTATGTTGGGAAGCTGGGCCATGTTAGGAAGGTAAAAAAAGAAGCTGCCAATGCAATAAGTGAGGATACCAAATTGGCTGTTATGCTTGAGTTTGAGGAACACCCACATACATGTGTTCAAAAAGCAGCCCCAGTACTCGATATTAGTTATTCATCAGTTATTAGAATATTACAAGAAAACAAAATTCATCCCTATAAAATTATACACACTCAGGAGATAAAATTATACATCTCCCTCATGGAAGATGATTTTGACAGGAGGATGTATTTTTGTGAACAAATGATGGCAATGTTAGACAACAATATGATCCAATTAGAACATGTTTTGTTTTCTGATGAGTGTATCTTTACTCTTCATGGTCATGCTAATCTGCAAAATTGCCTCTATTGGTCCAGGGAAAATCCTCACTGGATGAGAGAAGGAAATACTCAATACCCTGAGATCATAGGTCCCTTTGTCGTAGATGGCAATTTGAATGGTGACAATTATTTAGCATTGCTCCAAAATAATGTAGTGCCAATGTTGGCCAACTTGTATCCTGATTCAGGAAACCTACAAGTTCCAGCAAATATGATACAGTTTCAACAAGATGGAGCACCACCCCACTACTAAATCCATGTCCGGAGGTACCTCAACCAAATATTTCCAAATCAGTGGATAGGGAGACGAGGATCGATGGAATGGCCACCACAATTCCCGATTTGATGCCATTAGACCTTTTCTTATGGGAATATGTGAAAAGTATTGTATACAAAACTAAACCCACTGACTTAGCTGACTTACAAAGACGAATAACGCTTGCGATTAGATCGATCACATCTAAATGTTGAGTAACGTTAGAAGAAATTTCTATTCACAGTTAGGGTGTTGCCAAGACGTTCGTGGGGAGCATTTTGAATATCTTCTCTATTGACATTATTCTTTAGATTTGTATTATTTAGAAGTTTTTGACTATGTTGTAGCCAATTTCGGCAAATATAATAATATTATTCTTTTCTAAATGTGAATGTTTGTATTTTACTTAATATTTCCGAAACAGTCAAAGATAGGTATAGGACATTGTATTTAAAAAATGTCTAAAATGATCTGAGGAATCTAAAAATTAATTAATATACAAGGTGTTCTATTTAAAATAAGCAAGTTGCTATTGGCCACCGTTATCTGATACACCCCATATAAAAAGTTTTTATGGAAAAAAATATGCAACTATAAATACTGATTAAAATGTTCGACAATTTTTTTCTAATACTCCCTCATTTATTTACTAGCCAATTTATTCCATTTGGCTGACACACAGTGAGTTTTATCATAGCATCAGGTTTGGTTTTGTTCTTCAATGTTTCTTTGAATATACATATACTGAAACTTGTCAAATTTGTGATCAGTATGTCCATCTCTCAAAAATAAAGATACCCTAGGTAATAGAAATATCTCACATTTTTTTTACTATAAATTTTACTCATTTTACTTTGAAACAATATGTTAATTTTCATCTGCTTTAAATTACTTCATTTTATCAATATTCCAACAAAGATCACAACAGAATTTAAGTTTGTTTAAAGTAGACGCTTTTTCATCTTCTTTTCTGTCTTCAACATTTTTATTTTTGATTTTATGTAACTATGAAAGCTTCTACACTAAAGCGAAATACATCCTATATACTCACATAACTTTTAAATTCTTGTTTATTTGCATCTGGTTCAAACCACTTTGTGTTATCAATATTGCAACAAAGATATCTTTTTACGAGTGTAAAAATACATATAATACAAGGATTTATATATTTTTATTTACAAATTTCTTTAAGTACTTATCAAATAGATGTGATAAAAAATTATATAGGTCTTGTAAATACTTTCTTCCATTGTTAGTTCACCTTAGTATGTCTTTATATTGTTGCTTTCAAATCTTTTTTGACTAAGGGTAAGTACTGTATGAATCCTTATGTATGTAATCTCTAGTAAATAATTTATAAGAACAAAAATGCTAATGAACAATTGTCCACTAGAACAAGTGAATAATTTCAGTTACCTAGGATGTTACACAAGTTTAGGAAAATAGAGACATTGATTACAAAATTAAGTTTTAAAGTTTAAATATAATATGCAGAACAGAATGTGATTTGAATTTCCCTGAATTTTATTCTGACCAGGCTTCTGTGGAAGATTCTGCAGTCAACCCAACAAAAATGACATTCAGTCTCTTCAAGTAACAAAGCAAATTCCCAGAAAGCAATGTAATGATGAACTCATGACATTCCAAAGAAAATGGAGAGAAATACTTTTTCATAAAACACATTAGAGGTGAACCCATTATTATAAAGGTGAAAAAACTTAATCTCTGACATCCCACATTAAAGTCTGTTGATATATTGTATTGTATGAAAATGTAAGGGGTACACCAACCAAGACAACTGAACTTCAATACAACTCACTACGTTTGATGTGATAATTTTAATAGAAACCTAGATTAATATCAGCTTTTATGACTGAATTGGGCTTCTCAAATTATAACATATTCAGGAAAGATTGTTCCTTTCAATTTTTTTTTCAGCTAAATAATATATTGAATTCTAGAACTGTTATTCTGGATTTATTTTTGTGATGTGACTCCAATACCTCAGTTATTTTGTTACTCTGTTTTGTTACAATGTTCTGTTACCTGTAGGTGGACAGAATCCTCATTTAGAGGCTACAATAGTTGAATTTCAGACTGGAAAGAGCTGGTGGCAGATGATTTTATAAGTCTGCTAATTTTCATATGATAAATCAATATCTGGTCAGTATAGATTCAGATATTTGACTTAATCAAAGTTCTTTATCGATATCCTAAAAACATCAGGACTCGATGGTAAGGATATAAGACTGATCTCAAACTTATATCTCTAACAAAAAGCAACAGTATGATTAGAAAATGATTAGAAAATGAACTGTCTGAGATCTTCACAGTCAAAAAAGGAGTTAGAAATTGCAAGAACAAAAATAATGGTAATTAGTAAGAACACTGGCATTGATGTCACTATAGTGATTTGATGGGCATTATTTATAAAGCCCACTGATCTGTTACAAAATTTGATTTTTAGTTTATAGGCATTTCATTCCCAATTTTTTTTTAACAAAATAAAGAAGAATAATGTTTGTCTACTACCTTATCATACTTAATTATATGTGAATGTGATTCTAATTTGTAAGGTTTATATTATTATATTTTTCATTGTCTTAATTTTTGTACTGTAATATTTTATATTTGTTTAAAATGGAGGTAATCCCTAATAGATAAATAAATATTGGTCTAAACCTTGGAACAAGAAAGAGTGCTTTGCTTCCATTTTCTTAATGGATTTGCCCCAAAGCTGGTTCTGTTGCTGTATGTACTTGTAAAACATTTGTGATGTTTATGTACTTGACTTCTATATTACTGTTTACAATATAATTTGTTTTTTCAGTATTAAAATGTTATGAACATTGTTTGTACCCTTACAGGAAATGTTCCTGATGAATCTACAGAACGCGTGGAAGTCAAGGAACCACCACCCATCCCTCCCGCAGACGGGGACGCGTCCCCTGGTGGTGAAGGCGGCACCTGGGAGGATGTGGCAGACGAAGACAGCACTTCTGCTTCAGCTCCTCCTGCTACTACTCCTGAAGGTGATGAAGACGAAGAACCCTCCTCAGAGGAAGCTCCCATAAAGATTAAAAAGAAAACAACAGTAAAAGAGAAACCAGAGGAAGAAAAGAAAGAACATGTTAACGTGGTGTTCATTGGTCACGTAGATGCTGGTAAAAGTACCATTGGTGGGCAGATTATGGCTTTGACAGGGATGGTAGATAAGAGAACTTTAGAAAAGTATGAAAGGGAAGCTAGGGAGAAAAGTAGGGAGAGTTGGTACTTGAGTTGGGCATTGGATACGAATCAAGAAGGTAAGAATGTTTTTTTATTGGACCATTTTTTATGGACAAGTTGAAAAGTTATCACTATAACCTTAAAACAATCAGTTATTCTATTTTTTTGTATAAATGTCAATACCCCTTTTAATTTTTTGTTTTTAGAACGAGACAAAGGGAAAACCGTCGAAGTTGGTCGTGCCTTTTTTGAAACAGAGAAGAAACATTTCACCATTTTGGACGCCCCCGGACACAAGAGTTTCGTCCCGAACATGATCGGCGGAGCCGCTCAGGCCGACTTAGCAGTGCTAGTTATTTCCGCTAGAAAAGGTGAATTCGAAACAGGATTCGACAGAGGCGGCCAAACGAGAGAACACGCCATGTTAGCCAAAACGGCTGGCGTGAAATACCTTGTGGTGCTGGTAAACAAAATGGACGATCCTACTGTTAATTGGGATGAAGCTAGGTAAGTGAATTTGCTATTACCATAAATTAGATATATAATAGATTACTGATAAAGTTTTTCTTTATCTCCAGAACCAGTCTAGACTAATAGTTAACTATTATTACAAATAGCAATATACAGAATGATGGCTTAAAGACAGCATAACGGGATTATATGAATGTTATTTTGTATCTTCTTTCTTTCCAGGTACAACGAGTGCAAAGACAAAATACTCCCTTATCTTAAGAAACTAGGTTTTATATTAAACAAAGATTTATATTTCCTACCCTGTTCCGGCCAAACGGGCCAAGGTTTGAAAGAAAAAGTAGACGAATCGATCTGTACCTGGTACAGAGGAGAAGCATTTATACCTTTTATAGATAGTTTGCCGTCTTTGTGTAGAAAAGTGGACGGACCTTTTATAATGCCCATCGTGGACAAATATAAAGATATGGGCACTGTTCTTATGGGTAAAGTTGAATCTGGAGAGTGCAAGAAAGGACAGACAATGCTCATAATGCCTAATAGGGTAAGTTTATTATTCTTTTTATTTAACTTTCTTAACTTCTATGTTTTTCCTTTATAACTGTCTATATAATTTAGCTCTTTATAATTTCGAACTTACCTTAAAGATAAACAGTTGTCAGTGTATTAGTCGTAATTTTGGTTTTATTTATGTATAAAGTTGCTCTAAAATCGGAATTCTATCCATGAAGAAATGTTTAGTTGGATATGTTCGGAAAGGAACATCATCAGAAACGAAGATTTACTACACCTGACCAAACCAAACAAAAGAGGGTAGTAAATGAAATTAAGTCCAGAAAGTGGGGTTGGATCGGTCACACACTCCGAAAAAATAACTCCAGTATTGCAAAGACTGCCCTAGAGTGGAATCCCCAAGGAAAACGAAAAAAGGTCGCCCAGTACAAACTTGGAGAAGATCCATCATGGACGAGATAAGAAAACAAGGAAAGTCTTGGAATGAGGTGAAGGCCTTAAAGCAAAATAGAACCCGATGGCGCGTTTTCACTGAAGCTCTATGCTCCACTTAGGAGTTCAAGAACCTTATGTATATATATATATATATATATATATATATATATATATATATATATATATATATATATGTTCGGAAAGGGAGTTATAGGCATATTGTGGAAAATATGGCCTTGTTCTTGTGTAATGTTTCTCTAATAGCTGGGTTTCGTAAATTAAGTGTGTTAAAATATTTTGTTGGATAAGTATGTGAAACACTGAGACATTAACTAGGATAAGATAATAAGTTCTCAGCGTATTAGTGAAAAATGATTTTTTATTCCTTTGAAACAATTTTCTAATACCAAAATTATATCAACAAAATAGATTATAAAGGAATTCGGCGGATAATCTTAAAATGGAAGCAGTTACGAAAAAGTTATTGGTGTGTTGGATTACGATGGAAATGAAACTGGCTTCTGTCAATTCCATGTGGAATTCCGGGTGGATTTATTCCGTATAAAGTTCCGATAATAGCAGGATTTCGTAACTGAAGTGCGATTCTGATGATATTGATATTGTATATGTGAAACTGAATCAGTTACAGGGTAATGTAAAAAGTTGTAGTATTGGTGGAAAATAAATTTTTATTCCTTAATGAAGTTCCTATAATAGCTGGAACTATTGCAAAGGTGTGTGGAACTACTAACTATCGAAGTAGAAGATCCAAATCAACCATCCCCAGGAGCAAGCAACAATACACCATTGGAGGCTCCATCAATGCGGGATGCAATAAAACACCTAAAAAATAATAAATCTCAAGGAAGTGATGGTATACCCGCGGAACTTATTAAATGTGAAGGTGCTACTCTGACTAACCATATATATTACTGATTTACTGATAAAAGTAAATCAGAAAAAAAGAATTCGGAAAAGAGAAATATTGTAGACCATAAAGAAGTACTAAGAGGAGTGGAGAAGAACAAAAACGAAGATAGACACGAAGAAGGAAAAAAGCCAAAATCAAGGCACAACTCTACTTCAGGTAACAAAGAAAGAGTTAATACTCGGCAGCAAAGCAGTAAGTGCTAGAATCTTGTAAGACAGTTATTTTTTTCTTAGGTATTTCACTATCAATTTCTTTTTTTTTTGTTGTTGTTATAGTATGGATCCATACATTCGTGATGTAGACTACATTCCCGTAATTACTCATAAACCTAAAGATATTGAAGATTTTAATAAGTTAACTGCGGATTTTTATAAAGGTAAAAATAATGAAAATATTACCATTTTACACCAAAATATTAGAAGCCTTAATAAAAATCTAGATCAGTTACGATTAAATATACAACAGATGACACTTGATTTTGACTGTATATGTCTAACGGAAACATGGATTATTCCTGATATATCTTTATTTCAAATAGATAATTATAACATTTTATATAATGAAGGAGATATAAATCAAAATGATGGTGTCATTGTATACATAAAAAAGAATTTAAGATTTACGTGGAGGGTTGTAAACATTAGTGTATGTAAGGTATTAGAGATAACTATATTAGGTAAATATAATCAAAATACAATATTAACATTAATTTATAGACCGCCATCGACGGATGAAGAACATTTTTGCATTGGTCTGGATAAATATTTAGAGAGCACTAAAAATGATAATTGTAAATATCATGTTTTATTGGGTGATATTAATATTAATATCAAAAACATGGCACCAGATTCGTCTGAGTATCTAAGTATATTGAGTGAACATAATTTTTTATCAATAATAAATAAAAATACTAGAGTTCAGGGCGATTCTCGAAGTTGTATAGATCACATTTTTGTAAAAAGTAAGTTTTGTATTAGTAATAATGTTTTACCAGCTGTTCTGGATCTTTCTGTGACTGATCATAAAGCAACATTTGTAAGTTTTTCTTTTGAAAAAAATAAAATTGAATGCAAAGTTAAGTTTAGAAAAATAGTTAATTATGATGATTTAAAAAGAGATCTTAGTTTTCAAAATTGGGATCACTGTTCTAATATGAATAACCCTAATGCTTTCTTAAATAATTTTACCGACACCCTTATTTCATTAATCAATAAAAATACCAAAGAAATAAAGAAAAAAAAATGTGAGGTTAAGCGAAATATCTGGATGACAGACGGCTTAATAAAATCGGTTAATAAAAAAAATCAACTTTACAGAAAATCTATGAACAACGCAGATGACCTAATATTAAAAAAAGAATACACAATTTACAAAAATAAATTAAATAAGCTAATTATTGAGGCAAAAAAAAATTATTTTCACACGGAAATCACAAAATATAAAAATAGTTCTAAAGGTCTGTGGAACACTATTAAAAAATTGGATAATAACAGTACAAAAAGTGAAATTTATTCCATTTTAAATCAAAATAATGAGTTAGTTACGGATAGTCAGAATATTAGCAATATTTTTAATGATTATTTTTCTAAAGTAGGGTGCACGCTTGCTAAAAATATTAATACATCATCTTCTCCTGATCCTCCAAAAAATACATGTCATAGTACGTTTTTTCTAAAACCCGTTACAAAATCAGAAATTCAGAGTATTATTCATTCCCTAAAACCAAAAAAGTCTCCTGGCATAGACAATATTTCAGCCGATCTGTTAAAGATCATTAGTAATTATATTGTTGATCCGATAACTGAATTAATAAATAAAATATTTGAGCATGGTATATGTCCTGACCTTTTAAAAAAGCTGTAATTATACCTATATTTAAAAAAGGTGATACAAAATTGATGCAAAATTATCGTCCTATATCACTTATTACCAGCCTGGCAAAAATTTTTGAAAAGGCCTTAGCTGAACGAGTAAATCAATATCTTACAAAGTTTAACCTGCTGTCTCCAAACCAATTTGGCTTTAAGAAGGGATATTCTACTACAGATGCTATAACGTCCGCTACTGATTATTTATATAAGATGCTGGATAATGGCTCTCCTACTTTAGCGATATTTTTGGATCTAGCTAAGGCATTTGACACTGTTAGTCATCAGCAGTTGTTAAGTGCTTTGGATCATCTTGGAATAAGGGGCATACCGTACTTACTATTTCAGAGTTATTTAAAAAATAGATCGCAAATTGTTAACATTAATAACAAAGTAAGTGCTGAAAAAACCATTGAGTATGGTGTGCCGCAAGGTACTGTTTTAGGACCTTTACTGTTTTCAATATATATAAATGATCTAGCATCAATGAAAATAAATGGAAAGATTATTTGCTTTGCTGACGATACTGTCATACTTTACACTAGTAATTCGTGGGAAAAACTTAAAAACTTTGGCAGAAACAGAAACTGTAAAGGTTCTAGAATGGTTAAATAGGAAATTACTGACAGTTAATACTGATAAAACTTATTTCATACCATTTTCAATATACAAAAACAATTTACCTGACTTCTTGGAATTAAATCTAAGCTATAATAACGCGTTCATTAAAATAAATAGGAAAAAATACATAAAATACTTAGGAGTTTATATTGATTGTCACTTGAAGTGGGATGTGCATATTGATATGGTATGTAAAACTCTAAGAATGTTATTATACAAATTTAGATATCTTAGCAATATTCTTAATTTGTCTTACTTAAAGACAGTATACTATTCTTTGATAGAGTCACGTCTTAGATATGCTATTTTAGCATGGGGTGGAACATATGCTTCTTATTTAAATAAACTCGAAATATTACAAAGAAGGTTTTTGAAAATAATGCTAAAAAAATCTCGCTTATATTCTTCAGAACTTCTTTATCAGCAAGCAGATATTTTTAGTATAAGACAGTTATATTTGTTTAACATTATTTTGCTTACATACAAAAATAAACATGTTTTAAAATCAATAGATCATACTTACAGCACTAGAAGAAAAGTTCATGATTATGTCCAAATTACTAGTGCTTATAAATCAATTGGAAAACACAATTTTTCTTACTTCATTCCTAGAATATTTAACTATTTACCCGAGATTTATAAAACCTATATAAGAAAAATCAACTCATTTTACATGATTAAATCCATTTTTACAAAATATCTGAAGAACACTGGATCTGAAATTTTGGATGAGATCTTCTTTAATTAAATTCATCGTATAAATAATACTATACAGTATACTTTGCAACAATTTTATATATTATCAACCTAATGATACTGTAGAAATATTGAATAGTGTAAATGTGTGTAATCCCTGAGCACAACCTCTGGTTCATCAGGGAAGTTCACCTTTGTTTATTTGCCAACAACTATTTTATTGTACAAAATATTTAACTTTGAATTTGTAATTGTAATATATAGAACTAACATATTGTAACATTGTTTTATATTGTATATTGGGAAGTAAATAAACATTATTATTATTATTATTATTATTATATAAAATCATACTGAGAGCCTGGAATGAGGAACAAATCCCGGAAGAGTGGTGTATTGGGATCATTTGCCCGCTACACAAAAAGAGTGATTAATTGGAATGTAGAAACTATAGGGGAATAACCCTCCTTAATACAGCATACAAAATATTTTCGAGTATTTTATATAGTCGCCTGAGTGCATATTCAGAGGAGCTTCTCGGAGAATATCAAAGTGGTTTTAGGCCTGGTCGATCAACAACAGACCAGATCTTTGTGCTAAGGCAAATACTGGAAAAAACCAATGAATTCAATATCAACACATACCATCTTTTTGTAGAAATAAATTAAATCGGCCTATGATAGTGTCCTAAGAAATAAATAATGGTATGAAGCCATGGATGAATTTCACATCCCCGATATACTGATAAGATTGGTTAAGGCTACAATGCGTAACGTTGTTTGCAAAGTTGAAATACAGGGCGAACAATCACAGGCATTTGAAACGCACGTTGGTCTGCGACAAGGAGATGCGCTGGCGTGTCTCCGTTTCAACATAGCTCTGGAAAAGGCGGTCAGGGATGCCCAAATAGACAACAGAGGAAACATTTTTAATAAATCATCCCAAATTTTGGCATATGCAGATGATGTTGACCTAGTTTGTATGCGTGTGTTAAATTTTATAATAGTCTACCATCTGACATTAAACTGGAAACACACTATAGAGCTTTTAAAAGAAAGGTTTTTCAACACCTAGTTGACATTGAGCCCTATACTGTGGCGGAGTGCCTGGCCTATCCTTCTCCTTGATCAGCATATTTAATTTGTAATGTTAATACATTTTAAATGTGTGATGTCAATATATATTTTTTTAATCTGTAATTAATAATGTGACGTTATTTGCTCAATTATGTTTAAAAATTTATGCAAATAAAAATTTACTCTACTCTAGTTGCCCACACAACACGCAAACTAGAAGAAATGTATACCACCTTGTCAAATGTCTCAAAAAATATGAGTCTGCAAGTAAATGAGGAGAAAACTAAGATAATGGCATCAACACCCAACAATAGAGCCAGAAAAATTGGCAACCAATTCACTGTTGATAACTCTACCTTTGAAGTGGTGGACAAATTCACATACTTAGGCTCCCTGATCACCAAGGAGAACGTCATGACGGAAGAAATCAAGGGAAGAATAATCCTAGCAAACAAATGCTATTTTATATTGAGTAGACATATGCAGAAGCAGAAACTTAAGCCCAAAAACAAAAATAACCATATACAAAACCCTTTACAACCAGTGTTGACATATGGATCAGAGACATTTCCAATGCAGATGAAATCCTCCTGCGTATATTTGAATGAAGGATCCTGAGAAGAATATTCGGTGGAATCCGTGAAAATGGTGTTTGGAGAAGGAGGAACAACTATGAGATATATCACAGATATAAATATATATTTGGTGGTAAAAGCGTAGTATCTCTTATAAAAATAGGGAGACTAAGATGGGGAGGAAGTCTGGCAAGATCACAGCAGAACAACCCCTTCTAGAAGGATCCTTATGTCACAACCTGTAGGAAGTAGAAGTAGGGGTAGGCCAAAATTCAGATGGATGAATGGTGTAGATGAGGATGGTAGAAAAATAGGTGCAGCAAACTGGCAACAGTTGGCAATGGATAGAACTGACTGGCGTAATAGACTTGGGAAGGTAGAGGCTCTTTTATAGGGCTGTAGCACCAATGATGATGATGATAATAGCTGGATTTTATAACTGAAGTGTGATTCTAAAAGATATTGTTGAATATATTCGAAACTGAATCAGTTACGGGGGTAATGTAAAAAGTTGTATTAGTGAAAAATTAATTTTTATTCCTGTATAAAGTTCCTGTCGTATCGGAATTTCTATCAATTAAATGTAATGCTAAAATTAAACAGTTTTTAACATTAAAATGTGAAAAATCCTATCTATGAAACATAACGTTATTGATTTATAGGCATAATTTTTTGTAAACTAAATTCTCTTTTTATGTTCTCTAGACGCCCGTAACGGTCGATATGTTACTTTCGGACGACGACGAGGTAAGTCGAGTGGTGCCCGGAGAAAACGTGAAAATAAAAGTGAAAGGCATAGAAGAGGAAGACGTCAGTCCGGGATTCGTTCTTTGCGATTCAGTCAATCCGATTCACACAGGACGAATCTTCGATGCTCAATTGGTTATTTTAGAACACAGATCTATCATATGCGCGGGATACAGTGCGGTGATGCACATCCATTGCGCGGCAGAGGAGGTCACCGTTAAAGTAAGTAGATTTTTTTACATGATCTTATCGTTTGAATGACTCTGTGTTTGGGTATTTTCATAATATGAGCAATAAGAGTTAAAAGTAAAAGAAGAAGAAACATTAGAATTACGATTTTTAGATGGAAAAAAGATATTTTGAACGAAGGAAACAAAAAGCAACTATAGTTGGGTTGAATGATTCATTATTTTTGTGTAATGCTTCCATAACTTCAAGTAAGCGATTTTTTGCTGTTAGATGGATACCAGGACATTCCGATATTAAGGAGAAAGAGACGTCCGATGTAGCAGCTAAAGGAAGATACAGATTAAGTGAGTTTCCGACCGGAACTCGTATCCACTATCAGAAATGTAAAACAAAAGTGGTCCATAGATCAACACCTGGCAAGATGGAATGATAGGACTGATTGTCATCAGATTAAGGAGACAGTCAACTTAGTCTTGTTAAGAAAACAAACAAACTGCTTTGAGTAGAAATGGAATTTGGGAAGTAGTACATATTCTCACAGATCACGCCAACTTAGCCAGACACCAAACCAAAACATCTGTGGGTTCAGACAATCAGAAATGTGTCCCAGGTATGAGGAGGGGGAGAGATAGCCGAACACTTGATAAAAGTGGCCAACTTGATAAAAGGACAATTTAAAGTATCATTTTTGAGTTGGGAGTCATTACCAAATGAATTGAATCCTAAAAAGTAACGATGTAGATAAACTCCTTATTTTTTCGGCGGCTGGATCAGTTAGTTATTTTAAATGTTTTAATTTTTGTTCATAATGTCTCCATTGTATAAATTATTCTCTCAAAAGTCATCTTAAAACCAAAGTGGTCTACGGATTTGCTTATCTATTGCACATAGTGTGTGTTGATATAAATATATTTAATTCAGTGATTAATACTGTTAATTTCGAATGCAAGATTAATTAGGTAAAATGAAGGAACTGTTCCAGATGTGAATTATTGCCGTGGATCCGAATCATATAAAAAAAACATTTGGCCCTTTTACAAAAATGACACCTAAATTAGTTTTGTGTACTACTAAGACTTCCGAGATAGAACTCAAAGGAACTGAAGTTAAATTGATGTTTTCTTTTTAAAAACATTATTAAATTCTTTTGTCAAGTTGTGGATCTTATGGTAATACAGTTTAAATAAAAAAATAAGAAATTCACATTTTATAGGAGACAAAAATGGCCCAAAAACTACGGAGACAAAAGAATAATTAGAGATGTGTCGAGTGATCGTTATATTGGAGTCAACTGGATAAAAAAGATTTGGAGGAATCAAGTTTTTGTTGGAAGTCAGTAATAATGAATTGAATCATAAAAAGTAAGGATTTAGTCAAGCTTTTTGATTTTTTAGCTGCAATGCCTTTAGATGTCCTAATTGTCGTCTCAAAATCAACTTAAAACCGAAGTCCTAGCTATTTGCGTACCTGTTGCAAATGGTATGCGGTTACGCAAATCTATTTGAATTCGGCAATTAAAAGTGATAATTTTGAGATTAAATTGATTGAGTAAAAAAGGATAGAACTGAAAAAACGGTTCCTGGCGATGAATCATGACCATGGACTCAAAACATCAACAGGATTAAGGACACATTTATACATTATTTGATTTGAAGTGTCCCTGCATAAAAATATTATTTTAACAAGTTCCTGGTATATTCCTATTGACTATCGAAAAGCATTTGACTGCGTTAACAAGATGATCGAAATTCTGAGAACAACTGGAGTTGACGAACAAGACTTGCGAATTATCTCAGAACTATACTGGCACCAAACGGCAACAATTGAAATAGAGCACACAACATCCGAAGATATACAAATCTGATGAGGAGTTGAGGAGACAGGGTTGCGTCTTATCACCGCTACTGTTTAATTTGTATTCGGAGTCTATATTCAGAGAAGCATTAGACAAGGTCAAAGGCGGATTTAAGACAACGGAATCAATTAACGGAATCAGCATAAACAACATAAGATATACTGATGATACCGTCTTATTAGCAAGCAACGCACAAGAACTACAAAATATAATAAATGCGGTAGTTCATCACAGCGAAATGTTCGGTTTACATCTAAACGTTTCCAAAACTAAAACTTTAGTATTTTCAAAGACACCAATAAACGTACATGTGTATGCCAAGGGCCAAATAATAGAACAGGTAAATTCCATAAAATATTTGGTAGTAAATATCAATAGTCAGTGTAATCCAAAAAAAGAAATCCTATCAAGAATCGAACAAGCAAGGAAAACATTCATGAGCATGAAAAGATTTTTTACAGGATCAAACCTTAGTCTGCAGCTTAGAATCCGAATGATCAGATGTTACGTTTTTTCTGTCTTACTGTATGGCTGTGAAAGTTGGACAATGGACTCTGAAATAGAAAAAAGAATAGATGCCTTTGAGATGTATATATTTAGACGAATGTTGAGAATTCTATGGGTACAAAGAGTTACTAATGTTGAGGTATTTCATCGCATGTGTAAACAAAAAGAATTACTAAGAATAATCAAAGAGAGGAAAATGCAATACTTGGGTCACGTATTGAGAGGCGAAAGATATGAATTACTTCAAGTTATACTGGAAGGAAGAGTACATGGCAAAAGATCAGTAGGAAGACGCCAGAACTCGTGGCTGAAAGACCTGAGGAGATGGTTTGACCGCTCATCCGCAGAAATCTTTCGTGCAGCACTTTCCAAAACTACAATTGCCATTTGGATCGTCAACCTTCGAAAGGAGACGGCGCCATGAGAAGAAGGTGTATTCCTCTTTTGAAACTCGGTTGAATGAACGACGAAAATTGTGTTCGGTAATCTGTGTGTTGATCCCGAGCCTATACTGGTGAACCTAATCATAAATAGGGACAGTATAACCCAACTCTATCTTGACATTAAAATAACGTTGTTGTAGTTTTCACCGTCTGAAACATTAATTTGTTGGCAACACTGCGTATTTATTCCTAATTATTATTAATTAATTAATTAATTAATACTCCTAATTATTAAATTGTTTCAGGCCTTAATTTGTTTGGTAGATAAAAAAACTGGTGAAAAAAGTAAAACTCGTCCAAGGTTCGTGAAGCAAGATCAAGTAGCTATTATGAGAATTGAATGCGCCGGTGTTATTTGCTTAGAACCTTTTAAGTCGATGCCTCAGATGGGAAGATTTACGTTACGAGATGAAAGTGAGTACATCTTTTATTAGATATTATTTTTTAATAATAGTATTTAAGAAAATGTTTCCCATTCTTTACCGTGCAATTACTTGGCATTTTTTAGTTATATGTATGTGTTTTTGTCAGTCTTGATTTTTTTTTGTTCAATATTAACTTCGGTACCGCTCGTTTAGTCATAAGAGTTTTTGATTTAATTTATTTTGTATCTTACATTTTCTGTGTTTCGCGTTTAATCTATATTTTGAACTCCTTCATATCGATTCCCCGGTGGAACAATGACGTAACTACAAAAGTGTAACTTTTCAGGAGAGCCAAAATATAAAATTATTTTACTTAATACCTCATGCAATGGCATAATGAAGTTACTGGATTAGTATTGCAATTATACTTGGCCACCGTGATATACTGTAACTCTACTACACAGTCGAAACAAATTCTTAAATTTTCATCCCTAAATTTGATCCCCAATTGCAATTACGACATTGTTGCCACAAAATAACTGAGGCAATAATGACGTAATTGAAATTGGGAATCAAATTTAGGGATGAAAAATTTAGAATTTAGTTTAGCAACAAAAATTTAGTATTTAGTTTTAAAGATAAAGTTTCCACAGACATACTTATTTTGTAAAATTTTTGGTTACCTCGCTAGTTTTGAAAGGTCGCATCGAAATAAGAACAAAAAGTCATTAAAAAAATTTATTAAACAAATTGAAAATTGTAGTAAAAGTAAACATTTTTAATAAAAAGGAACTTAAAATTAAAATTGAAATTACAAAAAAAGTATCAACGAAAAATTGAGTCGTAAAAGGCTTTACAAAATCCAGGAATTATATGTTTTGAAATCTTTTAGTTTGTTATCACCTAAATGAATTCTAGAAGAGTAAGACCCACGCAGCAGGCATTTCGGTGAAACAATTCGGTCGAACTTCGACCCCTTCTTTTTTGGCAAAAATCAACTTTCGTCCACGTTGGTTGTTTATAACTTTTTTTTATACAGAAAGTAATCTTCCTTTTAAGATCTCAAGTAACATTACTTAAATTATTTTGAAGTCGCGGCCTTTCTCGTCTTTGGTGAAATCTAGTCCCATTTCATTGTACAGTGCTTATACATCGTAAAACTTAGTGAAACCCATTTATCTAACGGTTAAAGGAACTCCTGGTTTTTTAGCATTCCTAATTCATTCAACGTATTGCTCGGGAATGTATATAGTCCCTGATTTTGTTGTCCTCTTCACTGCTTTTTCTATTATGCCGTGGACTGAATCACGTTCATTTTTTGTGTGACCGCGAACAAGGTACTTGTAATGAAATCGTAGGCTTCCACGGCCAGAGTAAGAATTATAGTTTATTCGTCTTCCGGGTTTGGACCGTGTCATTTGTGAGTGACCCAAAAGTGGGTTCATCTCGACGTTTCGCTACAATTATATGTAGCTTCTTCAGGAGAACAAAGAAAAGGAAAAAGAAAACAAAAGAACAGGAAGATGGGTAGTTAGCAACGGTAACTCAGTTACTCAACGCAACCAGAGGCGAATACTAACTACCAAGATGGGCATTTGGTCACAGTAACTCAACTACTCAACGCAGCCAGAGGTGAAAACCAAATGCCAGGACAGGGATTCACGTCCAACAGCTCAGAACACTAACGCGTCGAGAGGCGGGGAGTGAATCCGACGATTACTCCGCTACCGCTCTATTTATAGTCGCGGTGCGGAGTAATCGTCGGATTCACTCCCCGCCTCTCGACGCGTTAGTGTTCTGAGCTGTTGGACGTGAATCCCTGTCCTGGCATTTGGTTTTCACCTCTGGCTGCGTTGAGTAGTTGAGTTACTGTGACCAAATGCCCATCTTGGTAGTTAGTATTCGCCTCTGGTTGCGTTGAGTAACTGAGTTACCGTTGCTAACTACCCATCTTCCTGTTCTTTTGTTTTCTTTTTTCCTTTTCTTTGTTCTCCTGAAGAAGCTACATATAATTGTAGCGAAACGTCGAGATGAACCCACTTTTGGGTCACTCACAAATGACACGGTCCAAACCCGGAAGACGAATAAACTATAAAAGGTACTTGTAAGTAATAGTAGTAATATCCAAAGTATTGACATCAAACAAGTACATTGCCATTAAACATTTATTTTTTTGTTGGCCTCCACAGTTATCGGAATAAAAAATCACATCAACTCCTGGGCTGGTTATTGACATTTCTTTTAGATAGTAATAAACGCAAGATCCGATTTATATTACCCCTCTATTCCCAATCACTTTAGTACAAAAGTAACAGCTAGTCTTATCAATTTCACAAGTGCTATCTATTTCGGAGACTTGACCTTTTTCGCCTTTATTTCTACTACTGTAAAGTTTATCATTAGTTTTTTACTGCTTTTTAAACTGCTTTAATTATAGAGCGAATAGTTCTTTCAGTTATTATACCCTAATGCCCTTATCTTTAAACTGTGTATCTCTCAGCTCTTTAGATACCCTATTTGGTCATTTAAAACGGCATTTGTCGGTATACACTATCCCATTTTTCAGCACCTACAGGTTTTCCACTTCTAGAAGTATACCCCTGTCGAGAATTTTTTAGTCTTTTCTTCTTTTCTTTAAACCAATTATCCACATTCCTTTGTCTTTTTTTTTCTTTCTTGACTAAGAGAGCATTACCAAGTGTTGGTGTTTGGGGATCTTTGTGTATATTTATTTCTGCTTCTTCTTCTGATGACGATGATACCTCAGTAGTGGAAGGATGATAGTCGTCACTGGAATCTGAATGGCCTGAACCATCTAATTCGAAAGATCCTCATAATACCTTTATCAAGCTTAGTTTGGTCTCGCTTGCCCTTTTAACAAAATAGGTATTTTGTGTGGCCTGAACGTCTTTTACTTTATTTTGGGCTTCATTTATGGTTGGTTTCGTTTTACAGCTGGTTGTTACACTATTTTGGTTTTCAAAAGAAACCAATGCCTCAGGTTGACTTACAGATACTTTATTTTGTCCTTGTTGATTTATACTGCTTGTCTTTCCACTGTTTTGAGGTTCATGAGAAACCAGTCTTTTAAGCGGATCTCCTGTAACTTCATAATGTATTTAAAAGTATTTAAAATAATGTATTTTGACAAAGAAAATTCTCGGGGAAAAACTAAAAATAAACTAAAAATTACAGTGCTTCTGATGCTTAACCAATAGATCTAACCGATATTAGATGAAACGTATTAAATTATAGCCATCCTGACATAAAAATATTAGTTATATTATGCGTTTAAATCTAACATTATCATCAAAATAGTACTTACATAAAATGCACTTACATCAATGTTGCCTCAAAATAAAGAGAAATCCAGATGAAAAATGACACAGAAAATAGTTACGTCAATGTTTCCGCGTATTTGTGAAAAAACCTTTCAGCCACTATCATAAAATACAATTGCGTCAATGTAGCACTGTAGGTACAAGCACACACTCGACCTATCGAAGCACAACTATACATTCTGTCATTGTTTCTCTGATCTCGGCCGATTTTTCAAATATGACGCATCTGCTCCCTGGTGACTAAAAGCTGAACAACACGTCTGACAGTGATCTGACGAATGGGGTTACCAAGTTTTGACCCAATGACGACATAAACTCATTTTCGATAAATTTGTTGTTACATCAATTTTCCACCGGGACAGCGAATTTCTTCTTTTATTCCTTTTTTTAATATTGTCATTATTTTTTAATATCTTTGATTTTTCTTTATTTACTTGTATTGTAAAACAACGTGATAACACCGATTTTCAACGTGATAGTTTTATTACGTCAGTTGCGATCATTTATGATCAATTATAATTGTAATGGTGTATGAACACTCTCAAAGGACGATTTTTCTATATATTAAACATTTCATTTTTCTTCCAGATAGGACAATTGCCATTGGAAAGGTCCTGAAACTGGTGGAGTAGAGCGGCTGTAGTGTCGTGAAAGAGAGACTGTCATAGATCCATAAAAGTATATTTCATCCCAATTGAAACACGAACTGAAAACTAATGAACATTTTTCAATTGTATACATCAAAACAAACCTATCGACATTTAGTGAACACCACACAAAAGTTCTGCCGGTCAAAAAAAAGTTGTTGAGACCCGTTTCGTTTTTCTTTTTCATTTTTTAACGCGTTTAAAACTACTGTTTTACTACTGAGGTGCTTCAACAAGTTGTAACTAATCCTGAAATTTGTAATTATTATATTTATCTTGGTAAATTGGTTTAATTATAATTTTTATTGTGTATATATTATCATTGAGCATTGGAGTTTTTTTAAGTTTGCTTGATATTTCGAAGGAACTATTTCATTTCCGTTTCTAAGTTGGAGCCATATGAAAAATTCGGATTTGTTACAATGTGATGTTAAAAGATGGGGTTACGGCTATATTTTTCTTGTTTCCTGTGATTTGCTATAATGTAGCCATTGAAAAACAACACCTGCGGTCCAAAAGTACCATCAGCGGTTAAACAATAGGGCTAACCAGCGGTTGAAAAGTACTACCAACGATTGAAAAATAGTACTACTAAAAACAGTCAAAACCAACTAAAAATAACGATAACGCATTGAAAGGTACTATTCATGCTTGAAGAATTTTCCCTAAGGGGAGGAAAATGTTACTAGCATTTTAAAAAATCTCACTAGACTTGAAAAATAGTGTATGCTGCTGAAAAACGTTACTAGTGATTGAAAACATACTGTTATATATTGAAAATCATTACCATCGCGTTAAAAGTACTTCTAATAGTTGAAAAACGTGTCGAAAACAGTCGAAAATCATTATTAACGTGGGGAAAATATCAATAGCAGTTGAAAAAGTGGTACTATGTTTTGAAAAGTACTGTAAATGAAAAGTAGATAAGGAAAAGTCACTTTGAAGAAGTACTACTAACTTTTGAGTAGCAATATTATAGTTGTAAAGAACTACTTGATAAATGGCAATGAGAATTATGATCAAAACAATGAACAAGCTTTGAAAAAATGTCATTAGTAGTTAAAAAATACTACATGATGCTGAAAAATGTTTCTATTGATTGAAGAAGTGCGGTTAGATGAAAATCATTATAATCGCCTTAAAAGTCGCGGTTGAAAAACTGACACTATCGGTTGAGAAGTGTTGAAAATCATTACTAAAGGTGGAAAAATATCACTAACGGTTGAAAAAGTGGTACTTATTTTTGAAAAATACTGTAAATGAAATGTAGATAAGGAAAAGTCAAGTACTTCTAGTTGGGCAGCATTATTATAGTTGGAAAAGACTATTATAGTGATAAATGAAAATGATGATCAAAACAATGATAAAATTAAATATATTAAAATAAATCTGCAGGAAATACGAATACCTGGAAAAAAAGTGGCGAAAACTGTAAAATATAGGAAATGAAGGCATGTCTAGATAGTCAAACGCTGTTTGAAAGCGCATGAGGAGAATAAGAGAAGAAGAATGATAAAGAAACATTTATTTTTTATTGAAATCTACAATGTGGACAAAAAACTGAAATGCCTTGATTTAACGCCACTTTTTACTGGAAAATATTAATTTTAATTCAAAATTGTCATCGGCCGATTTCAACATTGTGGTGGGTCATTTTAAATTTGTTGAACTCATTTCAAAATTGTCGACAGTCGAATTTAAAATTGTTTCCAAATTGACCAATTTCTTAATTGTCGGGCGCCGATTTGAAAATTATCGCGGGACGATTTTAAAATGATCGATCATCCATTTAAAAATTTTTGTGGTGGGTCGGTTTCCGTCGAAAATATATCTTGGAAGGTTAGAATCTATGTAACGCTTATGCTACGCCTTAATAGCAATATAAGTGAGTCTTCCAAAGAAAAAAGGATCAGTGCAAAGTTTATTAAATATATTATACTATGTTTAATTGCACTGGTTTTTTAATGAGTAATCCATTTACCCGTTCATGGAAGCACAGAATAAACTAATTCGAAGGAAGTACAGAAAATAACACATTTTTAATCTTGTTTTTGGTATTTGGACGGTACGGCAACATAATCATTGTCTTCACCTCCTTAACAAGAAAGATATAGACCATATGCTGAGAAGAAGTTATATATTTTATTTAAAACGACGTTTTCCATATGTCTTCACTTTAACAAACTCTTTGATATCACTCAGCAGTTGTGTGGTGTCTTTATAATGTTAATATTGAAACATTTCAAAACCAATTACTACAATTTTCATTAAAGGTGCTTTAAGGCAAGTTCTTAGATGAGATCATCGAGCGTCATTCTCTCTTACGGCCTATTTTGAAGACTTTTGTCGTGGAGTATCGGCATAAATCTCATTTACTTTTTAAATTGCTACTGGTAATACTTCTAAGGTTCATTTACACTATTAGTTTATTCGAGAATTTGTCTAGATCAGTTGTCTCGAACGGTAGAAGTAAGCGGAACAATATTGAATCTCCTAGAACCTAGTCTAACCATTCTCAAACTTCCCCTATTTATTAATGGGGGAAGAGACAAACTCCGAAAGTCTCCGAAAAGTATTTTATTCCCGAGGAACTCCGAGACTAATTGCGTGCGGACCGTCAATAAGTAATAAAAGGGCAGTACAAACAATATTACCAGGATGAGACCGAAATCTATACCCTAGACACAAACTTGGCCATTTGGAAAAATTTATTACATTATGTAATAAAAAACGTCAACATGAGTAAAATCGCCAAATATTTTAGCGATAAAAGCCTGATATATATGGCATGATACCATATTATGTGGGTAAGGTGGAAACTTTTCGCCCTAACAGTGAGAAAATCCGTCTTTTTTAAAAAAGTTCTTTTTAGAAAGTTTAAATTATTTCTTAATGTAAGCTTCCTCTAAGTATATTTTATTCGACGTTTTTCTGATATTACCAGAGTGAGAACTGAATATATACACTGGACTCAACTTTTGTCTTCTGGATCAGTTCATATTATAGATTTAGTAAAAAAACGTGACCAGAGGAACAAAAATTCGATAAAAACCGATGTATGATGTTTTAACGAATGTAATATGAAAATTATTCAGCAACAAAGGCCGGATATACCATATTAAGAGGGCAGTGTTAATAGTTTTTAGCCTAATAGTGAAAAAATAAGTTTTCATGGGAGATGCATTAAAAAGTTTCCATGCATTTCTATGCAAAAAAGAAATGACCAGAGACAAAGATCATTGGAGACGGATTTTTGATGAAAATTCTTTTATTAATGTGAATATATTTGTTTGACTTTCACCAATAACAATATTTCGTGCCTCAAGATCAGAAACGTCTTCAAACTACGTATTTACCGGTGGTGTGTTTATTTGTCCGAGAATGTTGTGCAGTTGTTTAGATTTGGAAGTATATGAAAGTCACAGGTAGCCAAATATGGCTAATAAGTGAGGATTTTTTCGATAATTTATATTTATGCCACAAATTTCACATTTCCAGGACAAAAACATGGATATTGCGGAGGTTATTTTCTTGCTAATGCCTTAGATGCAAATTTTTTACTGTTATGTCGAATGTGTAGATTTTTCATTTGTATCAGTTTTTTCTCAGTGTAAAATCAACAAACAAAAATCCGATAAAAATCGATGTACCATATTACGAGGGTAAAGTGGAACTTTTTCAGACCAATAGTGATAAAATGAATTTTTTATTTTAAGTCATTTTTTTTCTGAATGTAGTCGTCCTTTATCCGAATATATTTTGTTTGATGATTTCTAATTACTAGATTTCATTCCTGAAGATCGGAAACTTCTTCAAAATCTCGTATTGACGCTACTCTGTTTATTTGTTCGAGAATGTTGTTTAACCACAACTTTTGGAACAACCACGTTTGGAAATATATGAAAGTCACAGGAAGCCAAATCTGGCAAATCAGTGAGTATTTTCAATAAATATATCGACTTTCATTCCTTAATGAATTGACGTGTTTGTAACAGTAACAATTGTATATTTATACCTTGTATACAAACATTGATTTCTGGAACAGTTCAAATAATAGTCATTTCGTAAAAAACTTGTTCATAGTTATATGTACCACATAAAGAGAGTAAGATTAAAAATTTTCGGTAGTAACTGTTGTTAAGAAAAGCTAAACAGACAGTACTTACTGGGTGTTAAATCGGGAGTTTAGGAAGGACATCAAATTATTAACTTGGAAACTTGAATGATTAAATGGATCTTTAGGAACATTTTCATACAAAGTATTCTGCTTAAAAGCTAAAATGAGCGTGCAGCGCATGAGTGTTTATTTTTTGTCAATGTTCTTCCCTAAATCCTTAAAAATCCACCAAATTTCTATCTACTGTTTGGACAAGTAACTCAGTACAGTTCATGTACAGGTAAGCAATCAGTTGGCAATAAAAAAGTGATCTAACATTTTTGAAAGGATGCAAGCTGAATCTGTATGCTACATACGCATATTGACTTCTTTTAAAACTCAAAAAACATTACCGTATTACGACATTCATTTTCTACATAAATGTATCTATCTTATGACGGTCAGTCGCTTTCACATATTTAGTACTAAGAAAAAACATTTGCAGCGTTTTTAATAGCCTGAGAGGACTTTAACTGCGCAAAACTACGTACACGTTGCCATTATGGCCTTTGATTATCTTTCTGGCAGCAACGTTGCTGCGTCTGAATTTTCAAAATTGAAATATTTCTTCGTACATGTCACATGCCAAATTAGTGATATTTAGGTATATGAAAATAAAATTTTTCATTACGTACCAAAAAACAAAATTTGTTTAATTTATTGTTTTGTATTTTGAAAACGATTTCCGAAGTGGAAATTGAAACGTCAATAAACTTATTTTAAACTTGTGGCTTATTCCCAAGAAAAATAGCAATTGCCGTAAGATGCCACAAGAAAATAGCTTCAGAACAATATGAACATATTATTTTGTGGTAATATTAAAAAAGTAATTGATATTATTTTGATCTCGTAATATTCTTATTTTTGTGGATAATTTTCTACGTATATTTTGCTTTGAACGATACTCTGGTCTCATCTAAGAATTTCCAAGTTTATTAATATTGTGTGGACATTACATAAAATTTTAAAATGCCTTTTCAGCCAATATTCAAACGTAATTGATAAAAAAAGTTGCTTTTTCGAGGAATTCAGTGTAAATATTGAAGAGTTTATAAGTTACAGTCTTGTAACGAAACCCTAAAAAACAAATTATATAGTTAGCCTTTTTGTTTAAGTTTGTTTTTTAGTCTTTTATTACTGTAAGCAAGGAAATGTTGCTATCAATTTTATATATTCAATAAAATGTCAAATTGTAGTTTGAGTTTTACTATATGAGGGTCGCGCGATTAGTTTTGAGGTAAGTATGAAATAATTTGAATTACATTTTAAAAATTTTAATGTAAAATACGTAATTATAATTTGCATGGGCTAAGAATTTTTTGCTTTATTTCCAGCAATTGAAAGGATTTTATTCGTCAAAAATAAAAATAAAGATATAAATTCTGTTATGAGTTTAAAGATAATTCATAATGTGAACCTGACGTAATCATTTAGTGACGTAGATCTACGAACAAAACAATGATATCAGGCATTGCTAAAAACATGCAGTTCTCTTCAGTGCGTTATCGTAGCGAGATACTGAGACGAACTAGTTTTTACGTTAGTGAAATAGCTTTAATATTTTTAATTTTTTTTGTGAACAATCTTTTACAATTCAATTAATTGATAACTTTGTATTTAACTTATTTCGTCTTAAAACATAATACCAGCAGAAGTGGTTCTAATTTATTTAAACAATAATTGTTTTTAAACAAATTGTACAAATCAATTTGATCTGCCCGGACAATTTTTTTTGGTTTTGTTGGAGCACTCTGAATAAAAATGGTTTATTGTAATTTTTTTCTAAAGTTAATCGTTTTAAACTTATAAAAAATTTAAAACTAAAAAAAAAACGAGAAATGATGATTTTTAAAGGCTTAAAAATACAATTATTTTTGAATTCACCAAACCTTGTTCTATCAGTTTCTGATAGTTTAGTTTGGGATTATTTGATTTTAAAATATTGTCTTTAGTTGTTTGAGGCCCCTATTAACCTTAAAATGGATTTATACAAAACTGTTTAATAAATTAGGACCACTTTTTGTATGGGCGACCTCTATTCTAGACTGTATTTTGTAAATGCTATAATTGGCAACACGGCTACACAAACCAAAATACTAAGGTCCGGGCGTGAGTCTGTTAGATGTGTCTTAGTGTCTTAGTCGGAGTTTGTCAGAGCTAGACTACAGGTGTTTCACGAGTTAGATAAGCAGAACAACAAGTAAGAGAAGAATTTTATGCGCTACCCCATTTTTGAAAAAAACAGAAGTCGTCAGGAAAACGGAGAGTTGCTCATGCTAATATATATATATATATATATATATATATATATATATATATAATATATATATATATATATATATATATGTATATATATATATATATATATATATATATATATATATATATATATATATATACATATATATATATATATACACGAAAAGAGAAATCGAAGAGACAAAAGTAGATATAATTAAAGAAGTTGAAGTAACAAGAGATCTAGTAGTGAAAATACCAATCAACTGAGAGTTGAAGGTAAAGCAGAAGTGATTTGTTTCCCTGTCAACGGAATAATTAAGCCTACAAGTCGCTGCACAAAATAGGAACAGAAGGCAACAGCTCTTATTCACCATACAATGTTTGCTTGATGTCTTGTGCGCTATAGATCTCCAGCGACATTACGACTAGGAAGAAGACGGTAGCAAGTATGGAAGGATGCTATTATCACAGCATTCTAGATAAGGTCATGAAGAATGTCTCCCGTCATCAACGCAAAGTTTATGACGTAATAGATGTTGCCGAAGTGAACTCCAGATGTTGGACGCCCAATTCGAGAAATAGCTGACTGAAACGAAAACGTCAGGGGCTCCCAAAGTGTTCCAATTTTGACTTGGCAGGCCACCTTCAACGTGATTGCAGATGACCTACAAGATCAGAAAACAGAAAATCGACAGGCCGTTTTCATCACAGCAATGCAGTTTCAGGTTCTTAATATCCACAATAAGAGGAAGCAGCGACAGTTTAGATGCCGATGGACTTCTCAATAGTCACCAAGCAGGAAGAAGTCATGGCCAATGCCTACAGCCTCTCGAAAAAACCATGCGAGGAGTGCAACTGCCGATTCTTACGCCAAGCGCCAAGAAGAACGAGGGGCATATTCGACAGTTAAAAACTATAGAGGGCAGAAGTAATAAAGAAGCTCTAATTAAGGAAGACTTCCCAGCTGAGCAGAAGAAACATCCAGATGTAAAGCTAGTCCTTGAGCCGACGAAAGATCCAGATCTAAAGCTAGACTGATAGCTAACTAAAATGATAGTTGAGGGCATTTTGAGATCAATAGGACTCTGGCCAGAGTCCGTAAGAGGTATTATTCTATTAATTGTCAGCGAGATGTGGAAGAATGGTGCAAACGATATGACCTTTGTGCATCCAAGAAGGGACCCAAAACGAGACTTGCAGAAAACTCGTAACAATGCATCACCTGGACAACATGGGAACGAGTTGCTGTTGACATTCTGGGATCATTTCCAGTAACAGCAGGAAACAAGTATTTGATGGTTGCTATGGACTATTTTTCCAAATGGCCAGAAGTAGTTGTACTACCCAACCAAAAGCAATCACAGTTGATGGGGCTCTGCTTGAGAATGTCTTTTCCCGACATGGGGTTCCACTTCTGCTTCATTCTGATCAGGGGCGCAATTTCGAATCGGATGTTTGGAAGACCATGATGTCTTTGCTGGGAATTAAGAAAACCAGAACGACACCGGCTCATCCTCAGTCCGACGGCATGGTAGAAATACATAACCGGACCATCAGCAACTACCTGCCCCTGTTTGTACATGAAAATTAGAGAGATTGGGACAAACTACTACCTTACGGAAGCTACCAACATGAAGCAACTGGTTACATTTCAGTGATGTTATTGGCTGGTCGAGAGATAAGCTTCCCATCGATCTCCTACATGGCAATCTACCAGATGGAGAGGCGGAGCAAGAGACACTACCCGAGTATGTCAGCGGCCTAAAAAATCGACTGGTTAAGGTCGAATATTTTGCCATAAAACACTTCGAACTAGAGTTGACCGAGATGAATTGACTAGAAGTACTTATAATATAATAGTCACGTAGCAGCCGCAGGTATAAAGTCATGGTACTGCAAATAGACACCGGGAATAGCCACAATGGTAAGCCAATTACAGTAATTCAAGACAATACGTTGGGCGATAAGTAATTCCAACCACTATGACGGGTAAACAGAAATGGACACCAAAGTCGGCTCATCTTGACTTTCTTATGCAGGAGTTACACGAAAGTGAGCTAATATCGAGTTATTTAGTTAGGTCTGCAATTTTTGTTCGGAGTGTTCTTATGCGAGAATAGCCCTAAACGTGGGTTAAGCACATAGAACCGTTTCGATTCAAAGTGGATTCGTTAGAAAGCTACAACTTGGCGCGAGAAAGCCAACAATGTATGTAACATGCCAATGTAGCAAATGTGTGTTTCGTACGTAATTTGAAAAAAAAAAAATGCGAATAATTCATTGAATAAGTTCTTGAAATATAAGTGTCTTGTGGGCACAATGCGATGCAAAACTTCAGTAATTAAGGAATCGAGGTCATGGCCCCATGAATTTTTTAGCCACGGGTGTAGCAAAAGAAAGTTTGGAATGAAATAATTATGAGATATCAGATTTATTATGAGTATGACTAGATCAGAGGTTCTCAAGCCAATTTAGAGCAGACAGAGGGGTTATACCAGGACGCGTTTTGCCAACGAACGTATTTAATATTTATGGTGAACATGTTCTGAGGAAGGGTAAGTGGAGGTGGAGTCATAATGGCTGGCAGAAAAATTTCCAATTTAATATTTGCTGATGACACACTTATAGCAGCAAATGAACAAGAAATACTAGATATTCTGCGAAAAGTTAAGGTTATAAAGCAATAAAATTGGTCTTAAAATTAATAAAGAAAAGACGAAAATATAGGTGATGGTGACTCAACACTATTCATATAGTAGACAACTTCAACTATTTCAGATCTAGCATAACTAACGATGGAAACTGCGAAGCAGAAGTTTGGAGATGCATTGGTATGGCAGAAAATTCGATGAATCTTCTAACTAAAGTTTGGAAATACTCCCTGAAAATCTCCCAAATCAACAAAATGAGATTGGTGAATGCACTTGTATTCTGAATATTCCTATACGGGGCAGAAACTTTGACTCTTCGCGCACAAGAACGCCAAAAAAATGGATGCCTTTGAGATGTGGTGCTGCAAAAGAATGCTGCGGATACTTTGGACAGCTAATTGGATAAACGTTTCCATTCTTTTAATTAACCTGATACTACAAAACACTGTCTTGAACATGTCTGCAGAAAATTCTGCAGTTCTTTGGTCACGTGGTTCGTAGAGGTGACGGAAATTTAGACAGTAAATTGTTTATGAAAACATTCCAGGGAGAAGACCAAGACGAGGATTACCAACCAGATGGTCAGACCTGATTAAGAATTAAGCGGACTACTTAGTCTGCGCAAAACTTAGAGCAGCTGTAGATAAGAGTCCAACGGAAAAAATTGTTATGATTATTTGAGGAAATCACTGTTCACAGTAATGGGGAAATGAGAGAGAGGGGGGAGAGAGAGATTCGAGTTATCCATATTTTGATCTATATTCTTGATACAGTACTTACTTTCCGTGTCCGGAACACCAACAACTTTCAATTCTGTACTTCCAATGGTTGGCCACATAGATATGCTACAATTAGGTCTTCTTCTGTTCAGGGCCTCTCTTATCTCTGTGAATGATAGTAAATCATGACTCTTCTGAACCGCGCCACAATCGCATGTATCGTCCTCCTGGTATCCCCATTTTTTCAGGTTACTAGCATAACGTGAAACGCTGGTTCTTAGTCTGTTTAGCGCTTTCCAAATTGTGTCCAGCAGCTATTTCTTCTGAAGGGACCTAAGAGATGGCATCGATTCGTCTTTTGCATCTTTTGTTCTATTTCTGACGTGACCTGTCTTCTGATAGGTGGTGGAGCGATTCCAACTGTGGGGTAGACCTCTTCAATAGGTATTAGTTTCAGGCGACCTGATATTATTTCTGGCGCTTACTTTTTTCTTGACATCTTAACCGTGGTATCGATAAGATAGAGTTAATGTCAGGGTAAACAAGTAACTTAAACTGCGAAAACTTTTAAAAGTTTATTTGTTAAAGTCTCATATAAATAGTATCTTAAAATTAAGTATAAAGGTGCTTAACAAACAATGTTATCGTGCAAAAAGGCAAGACAATAAAAATATAGCTTTAAAATAATGTTACAACAAATTTTACAAACGCATTCAACTGTTTTGTTAGAGCGACAATTTCAATTCAAGCAACATCCCCTATGAATAGAAAATGTGAATAAATAAGCGAAAATTATTAAATGCTGAGTGATCCCGTACACCAAATTTTCCGATATTTCACTAAAAATATTTGTGCACGGGCTTTTATAAACGTATCCTACAGACTACAGAAACAGCTGGGCAGATGAAGGTACAAAAAATGGTAAAGAAATATCACTTTTCAATGAATAGAGATCGAATCTCTATCGAAATGCTTCTGAAAATCACAGAGCAAGTAAAACAACTTGTAAGCGTTACAGTACAGTTCGTTCTAGCTAAAGTTTAAAGATGGTTACCATCTAGTACAAAAATTTTGATCAGTTTGACTGATTTTTTTTAATATAAAGATAAGACTAATAATAAGAATATTTGACGTGAATTAACTAAAAATTCAGAAGATAAACAAAATTTTCGATGTAGATTTTTTTAAGAAACGTACAACTTTGGTATCTTTAGAGGCATTTATATCTTCAGTTTTCCAATACTGTTTAAATTCGTCGTCCCTCTAATATATTTTGTTAATTTTCCGACATATTTCTTAAATTGTGTGGGCCTTATTTTTCATCAATCTTACTTTTTGGTTCCCTAGATCATTTTCTTTATCGTCTACCATTTAATATGCGTCGAAACGGATCTTAACCGACACAATCTTTCAAAATTTAAGACATGTGCGCCTGACTGTATCTTTTTTAACGGTTGTGTTGTAAAAATTCGAACAGATTGCCAAAGATTTTGACTATTCAACAATCGATCCTCGAATGGTAGCCTTCTAGTAATAAAGGCGTAATACTAAACTTTCTTTATCTTCTAGAGGTACTTTTTTTCGCAGTACCACAAAATATTCTCTTTATCGGTCTGTTCTCTTTTTGTATCTTGTTATTTTACCAATAATTTTTGACGGCAACTTCTAATATCTACATTTGTACAAAAACAAACACAAAACACATAATATTGTAAATATTGTTAGATTTCTTCATCTTTAAAGCGTCGGTAAATGGACTGGACATATGTGAAGACGCATTTCCAATCAGGCCTTCTGGTGGCCATCATATCGTCAACGTCAAGGAGAGGAAAAATGTCCGCCTTGTCACTGAAAGAGAAAAATTATAAGTTATTTAAGTGTATAGTATATTTCAATTGAATGCACTCAATCAGGGGATCCATGTTAGGGTGCCTCTCAATTTTGCTACTAAACGGTTTTCGAGATGATCGCAAAAACCACCCATAACAGTCTATGATTTTCCGAAGAGAACATTCATTACTTGCTATCTTGTTAGAAAATACAGCACTGAATTTTGCGCAATTAAAAAGAAAAACGAATGTATGCGACGAAAATGGGAATGCTTAGATGGATGAGTGAAATGATAATAAAAGATATATTGGGGGAAGTCTAGGTGTGACTATGTTAATAATGTCCAACATAGGCAGACCCCAACCTGAAAGGAGGAGGGCTTTGCACAGTGTGGTGCAATCTATGGTTCTCTCCATGTCGCAGACAGAAAAGTCTGTTACGCGTGTCAAGTGCCTACAGGATTATTACTGCGGTAGCATTGTGGGTCATCATCGGCTACATGCCCTCTCATATCATGGCATGCGAGAGGACCTGTCTATTTCAGCAGAGAGTGTAAAACTTGAAGAGAGAGACATCTATACGGATGAAACAAGCTGAATGGGAGGCAACTGTGGATGCACCAAGAGTGGACCAAATCACTCATATAGTACCTGAAGACGTGGCTTAAATGTGGACTCCGGTGTTTGGATTATTTCCTGTCCCAGGTTCTCACAGGCCACGGGTTTTTTGAGCTTATACCTCATTAGGTTCAAGAACGCGACTATAGACAACTGACCTTAAATAGATTAGAATTGGAGGAAAGGAATAATGTACTTTTTTATTCTGTGAGTGATATGATTGTGAGGCAAGGACCCATGCGTTCGTGAGACAGACGTCCTAGTCCAAGGATATTGAAGAAAGGCTGTTTTAGCCACCAAAATACGTTAGTGGCGTTTAATCCAGCTGTGTAGCGATTTAACGAGACGTGAGGCAGATGTAGTGCCGACGATATGTCGTTACCAGGGCGAATCCGGTCACCGGTTTTAGTGAATAAGTTCTCGCCCCGACGGGGGTTGCGTTGTTAAGCGTGTAATATGTGATGGGCTCGACAGCCACCTCAGCGGCGGTGAGGAATTCCACATAACCAGGCATAAGATCTGGTATCTTACGAAGATTTCTCACTCACCTCTTAAAAAAAGTGTTTACTTCTTAAAAAATACTTTAGTGTTCGCTAGTCATTGAATAGGAAAATTTTGCCGAGTTGCAAATTGGTGAGATACTTAGCAGATTAAGAACTCATGTAAAACGATTCGGCAGTATATTTCTGTGAAGGGAATATATACTGTTATGACTTAAGATAAAAGTTTATGGAGAAATTTAGAAAGAAATATGTCATACAAAAATTTATAATGTATAACTAGTATATTAATGTTTATTTTACATTCGTATAAATTGCTGTATTCGTCATCGTGTTACAACTACCAGTGGAAAATGAACCCTATTTCCGTATTGGCTGTACAATATACTGTTCTTTCAAGTTTTATTTTTGGCAAATTGGCAATAATTACCTGGCAACTTTGAAGGCAAGTTCGAAATTGTGTCTTCGTTCTTTTGGCGTTAACGCATGATAGTCGAAGGCGTCTGGCAGGAAATGGTGGATGAGGGCACAAAATGCAAGTCCGTCCGCCCAGCTGGTGGAGAAGTTGTCTAGTTGAACGTTCTATAAACAAAAAACGATAAATATAAACAAATTAGTAAATAATTTAATAAGTATAATGAATTAGTTTGCTAAAATAAATTAAGTGTCTTAGCTATACGCAAAATAATTAGCTAGTCGATCGAAAATTAATCATAATAAAAGCTGGATTTAATAGCAATTGTAGTTCCCATTGATGTCTTAATTTATTTTGATATAAATATATTCCTGCAAATATTTGACTTGTTTTTGTTATGTTCTTTTTGATATGTCCACTTCATAAGTTAGCAAATTAGAGAATGCCATGCAGAAATCACAATATACTGATAGAAATTTGGCTAAGGATCAACTTGAATAAAAGATTATCATCATTTAACCTGGATCTATCCACTGCTGGATATAGGTCTCCCTCAGTATTTTTCATGTATTTCTGTTTTGTGCTGTTTGCATCCAATTTTTGTCGATCCGTTTTATGTGATCAGACCATCTTGTTGGTGGACGACCTCTACTTCCATGTGCTTCTTGTCTCGATCTCCACTGTAGATGTCTCCACAAGATATTAAGTATGTAAACGTTACATTTTTATTCATTATCTTCAAATAATTTAGTCACACAATTGGTGCCCAAATTTTTTTGACTAATATAAATGGTAACACAGTTGGCGCCCCACGTTAACTTATAAATAATTTTAAGTCTCTTTCCTCCCTCTTTATAAATAATTGTATCAATCTAAAGACGTAGGATAACTATCAGGCACAGGAACTGTTGCAGGAATTAAGTTTTCTAACAAACTGAGTGCAAGCAATCTTTCTTTGGCTAAGCCATAAAGGAGAGGATCACGGTGGTACTGGGCGTTAAGGGTTCTATAACTTTCGACTTTCAACCTCTCGTGACTCCAGCATTAAGATTTTCTGCATAGCAGTAGGTAGTGGATAATATCTTTGCTTAATGATGAGCATTTCATATAGTCCTCTTAATAGAGCCAGCAGATCTACATTGCAACTAAAGAAAACAAAAGGATCATTGACAGACCATCTGAAAAAAATTGCAGACTACACGGACAGATGGAAGATTAAAATATATATGGAGAATACTCAAGTCATCATCTTCATACAATAATAAATCATACAGATATGATTAATACAGATAGACAGATATGACAAATACAGAAGAAATAAGGATCACAGCTAACAAGATCTAGAGAGAAGAAGTCGTCAAATACCTAGGAGTCCACTTCGACAGAAAACTCAACTTTACAAGAAATCAAGAGCAATCAGTGACAAAGAGATTGACACATTCCTACATCTTCAGGACTAGCCCTGCATCGCAGGCCAAGAAGATCTATATGACGGACCATGGCAGAAGCCAAATGGAAGAAACTCATAAGAACTGAGACGACGTGCTACGGACTAATCGAAGGATCGCCATGGTAAGACAGAATCACAAATGCAAGAAAACTCTTAAAGACAAAAGATATGTACGACAGAAACAGGAAGCAGGGAATACATCGTGAAAAACATAGACTGATTGACCATCTAATCTGGATCTATCACATGGTTGCTGAAGACAGCCAAACAGGGAAGAAGGTACGGTGCTGCCGGTAATAGTACCTACAGAAGCAGACATCCATGTACCCAGCATTATTTAGATCAGATCGGAGACTCAAACGTTCTGCAGTATTTCATTAACCTTTTTTTCTCTGGTACTGATTGTGATAAACGAAGAAATAGAGTTTCTCTAATAGATATTTACACACATTAGTGTGAATAAGGTCTTACCAAATAAGCACCCGCGGATCAACTGAGGATATGGCATAGGGCAGCAGCTATGTCATTAGTGATTCAAGGCTAAGAAGGAAAATAACCTCCTCTCAGGTTTGATATCACATATTCACAGGCGGCAATCACATAATGATTTAACCGGCTGTGATACTAGCGGTTACAAATCACCAACCCGCCTGGCCAGCGTGGTGATTTAAGGCTATTTTTCCCCAAACTATGTCGAATTTAAAACAAAAAGGAAATGTACCCCAGGTGGGTAGGAGAAATCCGGAATCCCACATCGGGAAACCGATCAGCCTCACGGATTCTGGGGGAGGCAAAAGCTCGACAAGAACAAATAAGAGAAAACCGAAACTGAAAGAACCCAACAAAATACACATAGCGACATATAACATCAGATCCATGGCTCAAGATGAAAAACTGTACGAACTCGAAGAGGAATTAACTAAAATCAAATGGGACATTGTAGGGTTGTCAGAGGTCAAAAGAAGAGGAGAAATGTGTCTAGAACTAGAATCAGGAAATCGCCTATATTACAAAGGAAAGGAGGAAGAAACATACGGAGGAATAGGATTCCTGATCAAGAAGAAAATTAAACAAAACGTAATCGAGTATAAGAGCATATCAGATAGAGTAGGATACATAATACTAGAAATTAACAGGAAGACAAGAATGAAACTAATACAAGTATATGCCCCAACAACAACCACACGAGGAGGAAGAAATTGACAAATTTTATGAGGATATCACCACAGCAAATGGAAGACAAAAACATAAAAACAACGATCATTATGGAGATTTTAACGCAAAAATCGGAAAGAAAATGGAAGAGTCAGAAAACAAAATAGAAACTATGGACTTGGAACAAGGAATAGTAGGGGTGAGAAACTACTAGAATACTTAGAACAACAAAACCTTCATGCAATAAACACATACTTTAATAAGAAGCCAAACAGAAAATGGACATGGGTCTCCCCAAATGGGGTGACAAAAAATGAAATAGATTACTTCCTCTGCCAAAATACAAAAATCTTCGAAGACGTAACTGCACTTAATAAATTCTCAACTGGCAGCGACCACCGCATACTACGAGCCAAAATAGAAATAAACAAACTACAGATGCAGAAAGCCGGAAGAAAACCAACGGCTATTGACCATAGCAGAATAAAACAAAACGCAGAAGAATATAGACAAGCTTTAAGGGAAAACTATAAACACCAATTAGGAAAGGAAGAGTCGGAAATTAATAAAATTAATAAAGAAATGAAAGAAAAACTCTTAGAAGCGGGAATGAAAACCGCCAAAAAACTAAGAACCAAAGAAAATAGATTAAGTAGCAGGACACTTCAATTAATGGAAAACAGACGAAAACTAATAAGCGAAAACAAAAGAAACACAGTAGAATACGTAGAACTAAACAAACTAATTAGGAGAAAAGCAAGAGAAGATCTGAGAACATACACTGAAAATGAAATTGAGAAAGTAATTGAGAGAAACAAGGGCCTAAAATGTTTACGACCAAATTTAGGGAAGCCTCTACTCATTTCAATAAAGGATGAAACAGGAAGGGAAGAAAGGAGAAAAGATAAGATATCGGAAGAAGTAGAAAGATTTTATAAAGAGCTATACACCTCAAAGAAAGACGCAAACGTAAACACACAAGAATATATTAAAAAAACAATCACTAATGTAAACTCAGAAACACTGCCAAAAATAGAAAATTATGAAATAGAGGTAGCATTATTACAATTAAAGAACAATAAAGCACCGGGACCGGATGGAATCCTTGCTGAAATGCTGAAAGAAGGGAAAGAAGAAATCTTGCAAACACTGCGAAATCTATTTAACCAGTGTCTACATAGAGGAGAAATACCCGACGAATGGAACGAAAGTCTTACAATCCTGCTATTTAAAAAAGGAGACAAAAAGGACATAAAAAATTACAGACCCATCTCACTGCTGTCGCAAACGTACAAATTATTCATGAGGATTATCAACAACAGGCTAGCACACAAACTTGACTCATATCAACCAGTAGAGCAGGCAGGATTCAGAAAAGGATATAGCACCACTGACCATCTTTTAACAATTAGGACACTGATAGAGAAAGCTAACGAATATCATTTAGATCTGCATTTAGCATTCGTTGACTATGAGAAAGCTTTTGATAGTGTGAAATGTGGGCAATAGAAAGAGCTATAAACAACTGTAGAATAGATTCCAGATACAGAATGTTAATACACAATATATATAAGAAAGCAACAATGACAGTACAATTGGAAGAAAACACAAAACCTATACCAATTAACAGAGGAGTGGCGACAGGGCGATGTTATTTCTCCTAAATTATTTACATTAGCACTGGAAGATGTTTTCAAAACAATGGAATGGACAAACATGGGAATAAACATAAATGGAAAGAAACTAAACCATCTAAGATATGCAGACGATGTAGTAATAATAACATCAAGTTTTGAAGAACTACAAACTATGCTAACCGAACTAGCCAAGGAATCTGAACAAATAGGCCTAAAAATGAATCTTACCAAAACGAAAACAATGACAAACACACAAGATAATAGAAACGTAATACTAAATGGAATCACAATAGAAGCGGTTAATGATTATATATATTTGGGACAGATAATAAAAATAAATAAGGAAAACCAAACAGCGGAGGTAAAAAGAAGAGTCAGATTAGCCTGGGCAGGATTTGGGAAATTAAAATGGGTCCTAAAGAATAAGAAAATACAACAGTACTTAAAAACAAGAGTGTTTGACCAGTGCATACTCCCAATTCTCACATACGCATGCCAAACATGGACTCTGACCAAAGCAAACATGGATAAGATAGTGAAGACACAAAGAGCCATGGAGGAGAGCAATGTTGGGAGTAAAATTAAAAGACAAGAAGCAAAACATCTGGATAAGAAAACAAAACAAAAGTCAAAGACGCAGGTCAACATATAGCCAGGCTAAAATGGAGTTTCGCAGGTCATAACGCCAGACAAACAGACAATAGGTGGAACAACACGATACAACATTGGAGACCATGGACAGGAAAGAGAGCAAGAGGACGACCCCAGATGAGATGGGAGATGACATTAGAAAGATAGGAGGAATACACTGGAAACAGAAAGCACAAAACAGAAGCGAATGGAGGAAACTGGGGGAAGCCTATGTTCAAAATTGGACGAATTAAAGGGCAAAAGAAGAAGAAGAAGAATAGATATTTAGACTAGATAAATGTTGTTTAGAAGATTGCTTTGTAGAACGTATTTTTTTATACAAGTTTCTTTCATAATTCACAGAAATATAAGTCGATTTTAATTATACAATTAAGTCAGACCAGGATTCGAATGATTTTTAGTAAAATTTTATGAATCCGAACAACAAAGACAATACCCACTATCTCATTCTATGAAATCACTACAGACTCCATTGGTAAGATACATCTATATACTCATCAGTGGGTAATCTACTCATGCTTAATAAGTGGACTTAATGGGCTTTACAGAGTCCACTAAGCATGATGAGTATATACATCATCGTCATCATCATCCAGTCCCATTTTCACATCCATTGTTGGATATAGGCCTCCTCCAAACGTCTCCAGTTCTCTCTATCTTTAGCTGCTGCAATCCAGTTTGTTTCTATTCTCCTTAGGTCGTCGGTCCATCGGGTGGGTGGTCTGCCTCGACTTCGCTTGTCGGCTCTTGGTCTCCACTCCAATAATCTCTTCGTCCATCTTCCGTCTTCCATTCTAGCAACATCTCCAGCCCACCTCCACTTTTGTTTATTGATTCGCAGTATAATATCGTCTACGCCAGTTCGTCGGCGTATCTCCTCATTTCTCACGCGATCTTTCAAGGTCAGGCCCAGCATTGATTTTTCCATTCGCCTTTGTGTTACCCTCAGTTTTTCGGCAGTAGCTTTCGTTAAAGTTAGGGTCTCTGCTCCATAGGCCAAGACTGGAAAGATGCATTGGTTAAATGCCTTCCTTTTCAGGTGAATTGGGATATTTGTTTTAAAAATGTCTCTCATCCTTCCATATGCCGCCCATCCCAACGTAATTCTTCTATTTAGCTCGCAGGTTTGGTTGTCTCTGGTTATTCTAATTTTCATGACCCAAGTATGTGTATTTATTGATTAATTCGACCTTGTTGTTATTAATCTGTATCTCTTCGTTGGGAACCATATTGGTCATCATTTTGGTTTTCTCGAAATTTATCTCCAGCCCAGTTTCTTGTAGTATGTCATTCAATTCTTGGAGCATGTCTTTGATCTCTCCCAGATTATCTGACAGAAGCACGATATCGTCCGCAAAACGTAGATGGTTTTAATCTTTCTCCATTGATGGATATTTCTTTCTCTTGCCATGTTAGTTTTTTAAATGCATACTCAAGAACGGTAATGAACAGCTTTGGTGACATGGTATCACCTTGCCTGCCTCCCCTTTTTATCTTTATTTTATTAGTTGCAGAATGTAGACTTATGGTTGTTGTGGCATTTTCATATATATTTTTGACTATATTACAATATCTGTGGTCGACCCTGCAATCTTGTAGGGCTCTTAAGATGGACGGTAGTTCCACTGTACCGTCCATATACAGTAGTATATACATATACACACACTGATATAAGCATTGCTTATATCAGTGTGTATATGTATATACTCATCATGCTTAGTGGACTCTGTAAAGCCCATTAAGTCCACTACTTCTCTTTCCAACTTGATTGTTGAGTACTTATAGTTAATTTAGCAGGGACACTTTTATCTATACTTATAAACGATGTCATCACAAAAAAAGTCTGTAGACTTCTGCTTGTAGATTGCCCAATCCAAGTGACTTGTTTGTGACAAAACACTGATTTGCTTTTAATAAACTGTTATGTTAGCCAATAAACTTGTTAACTTATAAATATTACCAAGCAGAAAAACAGAAATTCTTTGAAAATCAAAAACATGGAATTTATTTTACACTTAAGCATCACGAAGGTTGAACAAAATTGTAAGCAATGTTAAGTAAAGGCAATAAAGTTAACAAAAAATACCATTTTATTTGCTCTGATATTATTATATTGTAAAAATATACCAAGTTACAAAATATATAATATAAAATGATTTTCGCGCGATCTGTACAAGACATTATAACCTGAATGTGTCCTTTACTGTCCAGAGTTCTGTGCAATTCTAATCTAGCTAATGCTTGTTCCTTCTTATGTGCCGCATTAGAAGTATTGCACTCTGACGTTCACCATAGCGAAGGCTATATAATACTGCATAACTGCTCAAATCTCAAACGTTTTTCAACCAAGACATTCGTTTTCTCTCTAAACTTCCTCAATTTTATATTCTCTTTTGAAAAGCAGTTACAGTATTCCATATAGATTTCTCCCTAATGTATAGAGTCTTTAATAAGGCGCTTTCTATCTTTAAATTTAAACAAAATAAAGTGTATGTTAGATATCGAAATTTTATATAAGAAATTGTTCAAATATCCGGCGGGAGTCTAATGGAGTCAAATTTCATGATCTCGGTAACCAGTTTATATCACCTTTACGAGAGATGACCATGCACTCAAATCTCAGTCCAATGTGACATGAGTTGTGTGGCGCCGCGGTGCTGTTGAATCCACATGTCTTTCATCACTATTCAGCGAATACACGTCATTCTCTATGGTTGTTTATGTTTAGCTCCTAGGTCAGTTAAATTTTGTATGGGTTCAGGCCTAAGTCACGAAGTAAAATTTGCCAAGTTATGGTCAGTGAAAGGCTCAGTTTTTGTGACACTAACCGCCTTGGATTCTCCTTCACTCTCTCACGGACAGCGGCAATTTTTACAGGAGATCTTGTGTTTCGTTATCGTACGGAAGTTCGTTAAGTAATATTTACTTAATACCCAGGCAAAAGCGCGCGGAGCATTACTCGAACAGAACACTTATTTTGATAAAACAAGTTTATCGTTTGCATCTGTAGTTGTACGCTATATACATAAATGCCTAGATGTATATATTACATAGACCGAATAAATGACAGACAATTCTACATATGTAGTTTCAACAATATGGCCGCTACCAAAGTTCGTAAGTCTCTATTGAAAACCCTATAGAACTATAATAGGATATTTTTCTAAATTTAACAGTTTTAAATCAGTTTTATTCTTGTTGACTCTTCTCATAACATCTTTAACAGTTTAGTATGTTTTACAAGATATTTTTGACATCGACGTCTACGTGGTTCTTATGTTTCAATTCTACTTATAATAACACAGACCTAATCCATGACTAACTGAATATTATATTCTACTTAGATGTGCTAAGCTCGAAACCTTTTTTTGTCTTCCTGATGTATCTATCATCACAATTATCTCAGGTTGGCGATCACCACGGTGAATGCTATATGGTTTTTTTATATGAAAAAGTTGCCAAGCATTTTGTACTTCTGTTCAATCTCCAATGTTTTTCAGCCAAAGAGATTATTTTCTGTTGCACCCCTACAATATTTTACCCTTAAAGTTTGAACTCCTTGTTGAATAATGTTAGGAAATTACAGCGCATCTTAGGGCTTGCCTTGTTACAATTGGTGAACTGTAGTTTGGTTTTATTTCTAGTTTGTGGATACGATTAAAAAAATACCAGGTTTGGGAAGCGTTAGCAAACATTGCATTTTCGCATTTAATTGTTAGTAACTAAAAAATACGAATTATCTGTCAGAAATGTATAGGTTTTCTTGTTATCGGTATATATTAACTAAAAAACGTGCTAAATACTTGAATTATGGTGTCTTCTAGAATAGTTCTTAAATCACTAATTTATTCTATTTAAAAGCTTTTCTATTGGTATTAAAAGTACCTCAACATTTTTATTAACATTTATATTAGCGAAATCCATAAAAAAGTTAATACAACACAGCAGTTAGGCATATCTATTTTACACAAGCTGCGCAACACCAAGACTGTCACCAAAAAATCATACCTCATACTCCTTAGTCTTCATTCTACACCAATACAAGAGACGATCCTTGATGGTAGCCGCAGAAAGGCTGAGTGCAGGATCGGTAAATTTAAAGAGAGGGCCATTTCCAGGAGTCTTTGGGGTACCGGGGGTACTGCAGACCAAGCGAAGGGAATTAATAGAGTATAGAGTGTCAAGCAACAAGCGTATTAAGTGAAAAAGTAGGTGTGTTTTGTATTAAGTTAAGAAGGTAAAGAAACGATGTATTTTTGTAGTATATACTACATTATTTTGATTTTCTCATATTCTTGGAAGCTTCTTTTGTGATATTGGAAATAACTTTAGTTTCAATCGTCACAATGATGCCGGCCCTGTTTAGTAGATTTTAAAAACATAAAATCACATGTTTTTTATCAAAGTTCTTAGTTTTATATTAAAAAAATGCATTGTCAACCAACGACAATGATTAGAAATACTATTGCTTTTGTGAAAAAACGTTCAATGGTAGTCTTACTGTTTTTTTTTTTCGTCTTCGAACGTTTTGATTTTTTGTGTCGAATTGACACATAATTATTGAGTCTTTCAATTTTATCGATAAAAGATATCTGTAAGAAAAAGTTTGACTCGTCTGAGTATCTTAAAACATTAAAGTAGGTATACTACTGTGGTGTCTGCTTTTCAATTTGACAAATGACAGCTACCAACTGACATTGAAAATTGTAGATTACAATGAAGACAAAACTACCTTCACTCCATAGGCGTATAAATTAACATATAACGTATTATTAACATATATGTTAATATATACGTCTGTCCTTCACTCCCATTTTTAATTTATAATGACAATTGTCGGCAATTCTTGCACTAAACATCTAAAATTACGCTCTAAAACGGCATTTTTTAATATACTGTTTTTGAGTGTTTTATGTTTTTAAACTGGTATTTGTAAGATTAATTTAATGTGAAGGCACATGATCTAGACCGAAGCTTTTATTATGACTGCAGGTCCCACTCAAAACGTTATAATTTGTGATACCCTATGCAATTTAAGCCGCTTCTCTTCATTTAAACTACTTATTTCAAAACTACATATTTTCTTTACCTTCCTTAAAAAACGAATGCATATCTTTTTTAGAGGGGTTAAATACAAGTTTTAAAGGGAAGACATTTTAAGAGAGTTGTTGAGTGAATTAAAAATAAATTAATATAGTGGTTTTAGTGTAGGCACATTATGTTTTATAGTCCATTTACAATTTTTTTGAAACGTGTTTATATAATCTAAAAATAAATTCCTGATGTCACATTAAGAATTGACATTAATGAGATTAATTGTTTAATAAAGAAACTGTTAAAAGAACTATGTTAATTCAATAACTATGTACTAAAGAAATTTGTCCTTCTTAACTGAAAAGTTCTTGCTCTGGATCTTGTTATGATCCCCTCCCTGTTGTCTAATTTGAAGTATCAAGTTATATTCTCTAAGGCTATGTTGTAGCATGTAATAAATTCCTTTAAAAAATATGGATATTCAATAATAAAAACATTTTTGATAAGTTCTTGGGCTATATATAAAATTTGGTGTTTTTGTGTAGACATCCGACACTCCCCAAGAAAGAATTCGGTTACGAAGTTAAATAATCGATATAATACGTAGGTATTTCCACAATTTTAAAAGTTGTTTGATTCAAGGTCGTTTTACGATATCATTTGAAGCATGTTTGACGAGATTTCGGTTGCCCCAGCAACTGGGACAAGTTGGTAAGGGATACGCGAGGTAAGGGACGGGAGAGGCCGGTATTAGGTCAGGTCGAAAAGAATTCAAGTTTTAGGTTTGAAAAGATGGGCGATCGTGGCAGATGTTTTAGTTAGTCGATCAAGAAATCGGCAAATTTGTCGAAGAAAAAGTGATTTATACCCAAAGTAATGTGTCAATTCTTATAGGAGTAATCACTGTTTTTTAATTGTGAGCCGTCTCTCATCGTGAGATATTTGCGAAACGGCGTTCCCAACAAATTTAAAGATACCGACGTGTTCCATTGTCCAGTTCTTTAAGAAGCCCAGTTTACAGTTTGCATCTAGTGACCCATTTCAACCTCAATGTCCTAAGCAACCGTTTCAGGATACTTTTTTCATAGTATGGAGATGAATTTGAGAGTTCCAGTTCCTGACCTCCAGAAGTTTTAGTGCATTTATAGTGAAACCCAGGTAACTTTATTGTTTGAAGTTTTAAAGTAAAAATAAACAGTTTAAAATATTAATTGCTTTCGTAACAATTTAAATTGTAATAATTAAACTTATATATCTTAGAGCGTGGTTAACTGTCATTTTATTTGTTTTGTTCTAAAATTTTATGTTGACATATGACAGCTAGCTTTATTATTTTTGACATTAGATTGTTTGTTTTTATTAATAGTGTCATTTTTCATGAATAGTCTCATTTAAAAGATATTTTTTTTTTGTAATAATTTATTTCTGCCACCGTTTATAGCCCAGTAAAATTTGTAAGTATTGTAATCTCCAACTAAGAGAGTTTGTAAACGGATAGGACATATGTAAGTTTTTCTTCTTTATTATTTTGGTATAAATCTTTGTAACTATTAATATAGTATTTTTATGCCATTTATATTGTTTTGCGGTGAGACAACAATAAATGTTTAATTTATTTTCCTAAACCATTTTTGTTTATTTATTTTAGAAAACCTCCTAACCTATCTTTTGTGTTTCTTTTTGAAAGGAAGAGCCTTTTTCCTTCATACAGCAGGAAGTTTCCTCGAAGCGGCGTCCCATTTTAAATAGCTAGAGGTCCTTCTTGTTGTTTTGTTTGTCCATTTGTCCAGGAGATTCATGTAAGTACCCTCTTTTTGTTTCATTTTTGTAGTTGCCCCATTCCAACTCCCTTGCCATTCACTTATCTACCATCCAGCTCTCCAAATAAACCCTGAGTGCTGTTCGTATAAGTTTAGATTTGTTTTGATTCCCTATCTCCACTCCAATAGTTTTTGTCCCCAATTTTCAACCCCCGTAGTAATACCCGTGTGATAGGCAAAATATTTCGTTACAATGTTGAAGAGATGGCATGCTAATGCGTCGTCTCTGTGTGCATCAAATATTTTATCGTTTCTTTACTTACTCGCTAAGGGGAAATGCGTGATCGTTCGCTCATGAGGCGGTGACTGTCACAGGTCAGGGTATTCTCGAGCTAAGGGCACGAAATGACGTTTCGTTGTGTTGTCCCGTTCGTCGATTTCGTTTTGATAAGGCTTGCCTTTAAGATACTCGGCTAGAGTTCGTATGCTTCGTTTCGAGCGTAAACTTACCTCCAGCCTGATTCGATTTGAGGACACCACTAGATGAGGAGTTTCACTAAGGCGGTGGTAAATCTGTCAAAGAATAACGCATATATCCTAAAACCAGCTCAGCGAGGACAGAAACCTCGCGTGGAGGAAAAAGACAAAAGCTGTCTTGAGCCTGATGTTCTATATTCAAAGAGTCTGCGAAATCACGGCCTATCGATTCGTTTGACTTGAAGAGTTTTGAGCAAGAGGTATCAGAAAAGTTGCCACAAGGATAACCGGCTAGTGGCGGCCAAGCGTTTTGGTCCTTCGATGTCGGTTATTCCTATTATTGTGAAGCAGAATTCGCTAGCTTTGGATTGTTCACTCATAGACAGGGAATGTGAGCTGGGTTTAGTCTGTCATGAGACAGGTTAGTTTTATCCTAGTGATGCGATTGCGATAGTAATCCTCGGTAATGCATTCGAACAGGGAGATCCTTTCGGATAGGTTCCGGCTCCAATTGCATCTTTAACCTTGCTTCAAGTAGCAGCTAGTACCGATGTACACTAGTCCAAGGGCACCTATAGCTTTGCGTGCCCTTCGAATCACGGTGAACGTATCGTGTCATTTTTAGAAACGAAACACATTCTTTCTCGTCAACAGAGACAACGATATATCTTGGAGTTCTGAGAGTCCAAAGACTCAAAAACAGTGTGACTTTACTAGACAATCGTAGTTTGCTACGTTTGTCCCACGAGACCTTATTTTCATTGTGATTATTGTTTTACAGTGGGATCTATCCATGCCAGTAGACCAGATCTTTAGTGAAACGATGTGTTAATTTTAATAACTAATTATAATTAATATTAATATTTAATTTTTATTGATATCATCGGATATCATCTTGATAATCGTTATTTTTATCATGCATATTAGTTTTCTTGGAACCCCTATTTCATTTGTAGCATGCACAAGCTTAGTCTCTTGATATTGTTATATGCTTCTTTAAAGTCGACAAATATGTGGTATAGGTCGATCTATATATGGTATTAGTTGTTTCTTTAGTGTTAAAGTTGCTTATATGTCTTTGCTAATGACCTTTGAACTGGTTTTGTTTAAAATCCTTAGCCTTACAATGTTCGTTGTATACTTATCTTTCATTTCCCTTTTTTGCATTAGGGTATTGTGTTTTCTGTAAGTTTTTCATTTTTCCTAGTTTGCTTGTCTTAGCACTTCTTATGTGCATTCTTTAGGGCTTTTAACCAACATTTCGTTAGGCTATTCAATATTGGTTTTGTCTTGCAATAATTTATATCGTAACTGAAATCCAATTAAACCCGTTAATTCAATCATAGGCATCTTAATCTCATACAACATAGCCATTATTTTAACTCATTTAAAAAATATATACATGATCATCTATTAGAAATGACAAAAGTTCATTAAAATTCCAGAAAAACGAGAAATCTGACAACATAGATACTATCGTAGGATCGACCCTATGACAAAATACTCAAACTAAAATTTACATAAATCGTGCAAGCCCTTTCTGAGATAATTCAGGCGTTCGATACAAAAATAAACCTCATTTACAATATTTTTGAATAGTCTTTTATTTATACTCGACGTCAACGAAAAAACTGCATTTTAATTTTAATAAACAAAAAACTACAATACTAAAAATATCTTTAATGCGCGTATATCATTCGGGTCTACGTTTATGGCTGAATATTATATGCGTTGAACTTTTTAAATTTAGCTTGCATTCAAGTGCAAGGTTATTTCAAAATCCATTTATCACTTTGATGTTTCAAGTATCTTTTTGTCTAGTCAGGCCATTTACTTCGAAAGTAATGGTTGAACAATTATAACTTTATAT